ATATTTGTATATACATACAATTTGCATGTGTATATATGTAAGTAGAGAGCAAGCAAAAAGTCTTTAAAAAGAAATCTAGTAAGAAGAAAAATTAAGGAATACTTTTGGTGCTACTCAGGTTTTCTTGCAGCATCCCATTACTCCTTTTAAATCCTACCTCCTTGCCACCCCACAGAATTTCCTGTTAAGCACAAAATTTCAAAGTAACTGAAAGTAAAGGGGGGGGGGTAATTTTCATCTGGGGAGGAAGGAGATTTTGTTTGAGGGTGGGGGTTTTTTAGGGTTTTGAGTCTTCTTTGTTGTTGGTTTTGGTTGGGTTTTTGCTGCTGTTTGGTTGGGTTTTTTTAACAGCAAGCATTATCACAATTTGTCAAATGTCTATAACATAGTTCTGATTTTTTAGCTAATTTTCTTCTAAGGCAGGAATACCCATTTTCTGTAAAATCACACCAATTTGTTAGGCAATTTTCTTTTCTCCTCTTCTTGCAATTATAATGGCAACATTCGTTAAAAAGATTTTATTTTAAAATTCTGTAGAAGAACGACTAAAATAATTTCCTTAGAGTACAATGTAGGCTGTATGGAGTGCTGCTAGCATGCCAACTGAGGTCTTGCTATTTTCTGTTACTCTAGTAAAGTCTTATCTCTAGTCTTAATTTATGCAGCCACAAGAGTGTAGGACAGTATTTTTGTTCAGTGCCTTGTAAAATTAACTTTGGGCTTATAATCACTTGTCATGCTTTGTATCACTGATGACACTATCCATTCCATCACCATCTTTACTGAAACACATAAACAACTTACATCTGTGAGCATTTAGCAATTACTCATTCAAGCTTGCCAGTTATACAGGCCCAAGTTTCATCAGAGCTCACCACTTTCCTCCCATTATCAAAAAATAAGTTATTCAAATAAACATATTTATTACTAAGTAATCTGACTCATCACCAGATGCTATTATCATGGGCTGGATTGAAAAAAATAATAAAATTAGAACTGGCAAGCATAGCTATTTCGTTTTTGTTTTGACAGCCATCAGTTTTAGTTTCTGTTATGAAACAATGAGTATCGAACAGGTACATAAGGAAAAACATTAAAATTATGCTGATAATGGCACTTTACTGTTATCTGAATAAATATATGGAGATAAAAAGAACAATAAAAAAACCCAGCAGAATAAAAACCAAGGGTGGTGTTGGAAAAATCCAAGCCCAAACCCTAAGACTTTCTGAGTAAACATGGGTTGAAGGAGGTTGGATTGGTGCACCACGCCACATTCAAACCTCCTCTGAGACACGGCAATGTCACCAACATAAGGACATGTCTCTCCTGTACAATCCACAGGGAGAGGGAAGTGCTTTCACAGGGCCTGTCTCCTCCCCACTGTAGCCCAGCACCCCAATAATGTGTTCCAGTTTCCTTTAGACAAAGAATTTTGGGGCATGCACAGACAGCTAGAGAACGTAGCAGTGCAAAAGGAAGTTACTGATTTACTGTAAGCATTCTGACTTAACTCCTTTTGGATATCAGGCATAATGAGATACTCCCTCATCTTATACCTCAATGCTGCATTTCAGTTGGCATTCAAGTAGTGTCAGAGATACATCTTCTTTCAATTATTTTTTCCCTGCACTGAGAACACACAGATCATACCCTCCCAAGTAAATTTCTAAAGAAACAAGCTATAAAAAATTATGATGACATTCTGCTTCTATAGAAAACCAAATCACAAAAATCTGAAATCTATCAATTGACTCAAAATAGTAGTACAATTTTAGTATAAATTAAAAATACAGCTGCTGGGAAGACAAAAGAACATTCAAAAAAAGCCCCAACAAATCAACAACCAAACCAAGGCCTCTTTATCTTAAAATATTTAGTTACATGTTTTAAATAGGATGATTTCAGAACTAACATTGAAAAACTGACATTAAACCAAGTCTTGGGAATACAGCACCAAAATGGCTTCTGAAACTGAACGTTACATTTAAAAGTAGTAGCAAAGGCAAACCAATGTTGTGGTCAATTAACAATACAGTATTTTAACAAAATAAAATCTATTTCCTCCCTCACATTATAGACAGCATTTTTTTCTCCTCACACACATTGTAAACAATATTTTTATATATTATATATAGTATAGATTTAGTAGTATTTAATATTACATATAAATATCAAATATTTTAAAGTAAAATTTATTGAAAGTTACCTATAGATGCAAAGAAAATGATGGCAAGAAAGTCACGTATTGGTTCAATACAGCACATAATCTCCTCAGTAACCATGTGACCCTGAGAAGAGATCAGAGCTCCGGCTAAGAAGCATCCCAGTTCCATTGAAACATCCAACAGCTCTGTGATCTGTAAAGGAGTAATAGAGAATCTACTGCTGAGTGACTTGATACACCATTTCACAGCGAAACTATAAAACTTTACATTATACCAAATGCAGGAAATTACTATGTCTTTATGCAAGTTCAACAGCAAACAGAATTGAGTGTATGTATTTCAATGTTCTGCAGTATTGTATTCATACAGAAGGCTCACAAACTTAGGTTCTCCATTTATGCTACTTCCTTTCCCACAAAAACAGAAATAAATTTCTTAATCTACATTGCAATACTTTGTGTGACCCTTAAGGACAGAATCTGATTTCACATGTCAGAGAGAGACTATGACAGCTTTGGAGTAAGGATTACATAATACATTGAGGCTGTGAAATAAAGCAGTAAGAACAAGCTATTTCCCAGCTGTCAAACAAGAGAGAAGAAATGAAAATCTAAGCTTATATTTGGGCGAAGAGTCTCAATCTAGCAGAAGTCCCTGGCATAAATTATGTTTTATTTATTTGGTGTGGTAAATTTGGTGTGTAAATGTGCCTGTGTGCTTTACTGAATAGGGATTCATTTAAGTGTGTAAAGTAAACTGCTGAAATGAAGCACAATGACTGCTTCAAAGAATTCAGACTGCTCCATTCTTTTTTAATATTTTAAAATGCAGTACTAGAAGAAGAGATGAAACATGTAAAGCAACTAAATAAAACACAAAGCAACTGCTTAAGGCAATGCTTGGAACACTAAAAAAAAAAAGCAAACTGCACTTATAATGTATGGTATGGTATAAAGTATGTTTTAAAATAATTATTTCAAAATCACACAGCTGTAGATGGTCATCTTGCTGAGAAAGGACGATGTTATTAATATTAATAGAACATTTAAAACCAACAACTTATTTTTATTCTAATTTAAATTAAGCAAAAATACACTATAGTACATTCATGGACACCATTCATCGTGTCTTGAATGGTGTTTTACTGTAAGATATCAAACAAAAACTCAGGCAACATGAAACTAATGGAGTGCAAAAGACACAATAAACAAGTCTCCAGACTATGCATAAAGATGCCACCTAAAAATAACCCTAAGACCTTTGCAGATTGAAGTAATAATATCTGAATGCTCATCACCTAACTGCATTTGTGACAACACTCTGTAATTTATTGCAAGATATTTAAGATAATAAATTTGTTCTGTCAACTAATATAATTAGTTGATCATGCAAAGCAAACAATGTAATGTTATTCTCATTTTAAAACAAAAGGAATTTCAGTGCTTTTTAGAACAATTCGAAACTGTAAGAGGGAAGAAGCCAATATATACATGAAGGACTTTAAAATCACCAAGAGATGAATAAAATTAAGGAAACAGTTACGTTCTCAATCATACATTAGTTGTTTTAGAAGTCACAGCCTCTTGTGGATGATTAAGATCCAATAAAACCTATTCGAATAAAGTTGGAATTATTTTTACTACTCAGCTATAATCTTCCCACACTTAAGTGCCATCAGCTAAAACGGAGCTCCACATCAAAACTTTTACAGCTAATATTTTAAACATTCCCTCGGACAGGATTAGGTTACCATAAAGGAAGAGATGCAGCATATCTTGTACCAGAATTGCATGATACTGCACTGTTGTGAGAATCACTCTTCAAGCAAGGAGCAATTTGAGTGTGAAAGAAACATGTTTGTTCAAAAAGCATCAGACATAACTGGAGCAAAATGCATGTCTAACTGGGAATTTGGTCCCAGTCCCACAGCATATAAACTGAATTACATTTCTTCAGTTTATGGCAAGCCAAGTAGGAGCTCAGGGGCCTGGTAAAAAAATAGGCAAGTTTTACTATTTCTTGTCTAGTCTCTGGGTACTACACAGCTTCAGCTCGACAAAATCCATAGGTGACTCTACATACAGAAAAGTGTAAAGTGTATCAGAGAGCAAGAAAAGAACCAAAAATTACATCATCTGCTTAACACTCTCTCCCCTCCTCAAATCTGTTCTTCAGATTTACAGAACCAGCTAGGTTGGAAAAGACCTTTGAGATCATCAAGTCCAAACTTTTATATGTAGCTTTCTACAGAAATTCCTTTTACAATGCCCATCTTTGTTGCCAGTTGTCCCACAGTATTACCTACAAGTGGACACATTTCCTCAGCTAAAACTGTAGCATCAGGATTTATTACATGTAACGTATGGGCACATCTGCACACATACACTGGAGAGGACTTGTTTTACTGGCAGGAAGGCATTCGCAGCAGAGTTTTTTTCGCAAGCAAAACCTTTGAAATTACTGAGTATCTAGTATTCTCTCTCTGCTTGCATTACTTCTAATGTTCAGCCTTTACCAAATAGGGCTTTAGCCATTACTAACTCCTGGGCTTTGCACTGTCCTCTTCTCAACTCTTACGTTGCAGAAAGCTTTTTCAGTCAAAATTACATGAAAAATTTTGTCAATTCGCATGTTTTCCTCAGCACAACTTAAGTTTTCAGTTGTATTCAAGGGTCCCATTTTATTCCAATTCAGAAAGGATTGCTTTGCTTTCACTAGAATATTGGATTTTTATGTTCAAATGTTCTACCACATCAATAAATAAAGAAATAAACATTACTGCTATAACATGTTCTGGGCGAATCTCAACCATCTGTTCAGCAGTAGTTTTGCTTATATTCTCTAATGATGTCTATCTTATTGCTACTCATTAATCATCACAGAAGCGTAATGAATATGGTAAGCCAGTAAAATTAAATAAAATTTTGGTGGAAATAAAGGTATTAGAATTTCAGGCTTTGGTAACTTAAATCTGCTCAAGAGTAAAGAGGTGAATTTTAAGCTTGCATTTCAAGAAAGTGAAGCTGTAACGGAAATTGAAACAATTTTAAGTGAACCTTGTAAGAACTCTATCTCAACTGTATTTTATGAAATGATTAACTGAAATATTTGAGATTACAGTTCTTCTTTAATCTTCTTTTAATTGATAGAACAGAGTTCATAATCAGGTTATAAGCCATTGAGAAGTAGTTCTGGCAATTAAAGAACAATATTCTGATAATAGTAATGATATCCATAAGACACTGCAGAAAAGCCTCATACATTTGCATATGTAAAGTACTGCAATAACATCACTGTATTTTCTTTTCAGTATATAAAGCAAACTGGCAATTTGCTTCCACCATTCCAGATCAACCATGAGGTAGTGAAACTAGAAGCCACTTTTCCCCCATGTATATGCACAGTCCTATAAACATGCAAATGTAACTGCTGTCCTTCTTGTCAGGTTAGGTTTTATATTTTTCCATTTCCCTTATAACATTCCACAGTTTTAGTTTTAAAAATTGATGAAACTGACTACAGTTGTTCTGCAGGTTTCTGATACAGCACTTTATTATCAGGACGGTGTTTAAAACAATTTTCCTTGTAATGTTTCCATACATACAGAACATGAAAAAGCAACACTACACCAGTGAATGCTAAGGCTAGCATACTCTTCAGCTCATCCTGGTAAATATCTTGACTTAAAACTACCAGTTTGGCCATTGATCCTGAATGGTCACGTTTAAAACCGTAAGTTAGATTTGTTCCTTATGTTGCAATTCAGGAGAAAAGTTCACCAATTCAAACAAACAAACAAACAAACAAACAAACAAACAAACAATCAATCAAACCCCTACCTGCATAACTAGGAGCTTGAAAAGGAGCTGCTGAAAGTACAATAATGTTCTACTGAACCTTTGTTACCGAAGACAAGGTACATGATTCAAAGATGCACAACGTTGTCTCAATGTCACCTATACTATGACAGGATTGGCACTTGACACAATTCCCACCTCCCAGACCTGATCTGCCTAACTAGTTGAAGGATAAAAGCGAGGGGAAGGTTCAATTATTTCTGAGAATACTGGGAACAGAAAGGGTATCTTAAGCTCCAAGTCTTACTAAAATATCCACAGGTAACAAGCTGCAGTGTTATCCAAGTGACTCAGATTCAGAAATGCTCAAAAGTCACAGCCATACTCAACGCTCCTCAACTGACATGATAATCCTTATATGAAAATTGCTTACTCGCACTGCAGTATAGGAACTTCTGTCTTATCTTCCCTCCTATTCTCCCATACAGAATTTGCCCTTATCGTCAGGGAAATGGCAATTCTTGTTTAACTAATCATCTGAGATTTTTCAAATACAGGAACCAAGCAAAATAAATAAAGTCTACATATACTGAGCGCTACACGTGCTGGTGTTACACATTAATCCAAATACAGAAAAAACTTAGCTGGACCCCAGAAATCCAGCCAACACTGAAGTACATAATAACGAACTATATGCATGAGGCAGGAACACCATATCATTCCTAGTCTCTTTTTCATGTATTGGAAAGGATGTGTCCTGTGGAGTAACTCACAACGCTAGACAGTGAGTTAAATTATTTTATTTAAAAATGTATCTCAAATTTTCTAAAGGGAGCCACAGAGTTGTCTTTGGTTAAGGATGCTAAAATAGGCACTCTCTTATTGCTCTTCTACAGATTCAAAAAGCTTTTTTTAGAATTACACCGGTACAGAAAATTCTGTGTTTGCAGATTAGTTATACAACCTCTTTCAATATTTAGGCTTGGCTTTCCAAGGAGAAAGATCTTTGCAGAATCCATGACAGTTTAATTATTTTTCTACCTGGCACCCAAAAACCTTAATTTAACCTTTCCAAAGATATGCAACATTTTTTTCAGCTTAGATTGCAATCACTCATCCTATGTTTGTATTCCTGACAAAGTACAGCATCTATACGAATTGAGATCGGTTTTCCAGATTTGTTTGTTCACCTATTCAACTCAACAAGCAAACACTTTTTTACTTTTTGTGTGTGTGTGTGTGTTCAAACTATAACTTGTACCATTACTATAATGAATCTGTAAATGTCAGCAAATATCAAGCCTCTCAACTAATTCACTGAAGTTACCCGCAGTATCCTTTGTGCTATTCCCTTTGATAAATTATTCATCGACTTTAAAAGGGAAGAATTTTGAAAACGCTGAAGAAGCCTTCTGGGTTTGCAGTATAAATCCAAAAAACTCAAACATACTCTCCCCTCCACGTTTGTGTACAAACATGTATTGTCTAAAGTCACACAGACAAATTCCTTGTATATTTGAAATGCAATTTGGGTACGAGAAGCTCAATTCTATGTAGGCCATGGTTTTAATTAAAGTAAAATTGCTTCTAGATACCATAATATTTTATACAACTTCAGTGGTTGCTGTTTTTTATTAAAGTTTTCTACAAGTGTACTGTTTGCTTGTTAGAAAGGAAAAAGGTGAAAACAGTCCTGTTTCTTATCTTATTAGAGGACACATTTGAAATATGAATAGCTGTTTAAGCAATGGCATTTTTAACTTACATAGCAGAAGTCACTAACTAAAGTTGTAGTCACACTACATAGCTTATTTTTAACCTTCTTCCTGAAGAAGGTCAGCTTTTCCTGTTGGACTGTAGTAATTAACCAAACACCCCTAGAAAACAGGCACAGGAACTTTTTGGCTTAATTATTCTCGGGGGATGTAACAATCTGCACATTCAGGATAACGGAGTGTTAAACCCACAACATTATCAAGCAACTGTCACATTCTGCTCTCCAGCTGTACAGTTTTTCAGAAGGCTGAAAAGTGAGATAGAAACAAAAATGGAGAATTCAGGGGAAAATGAACCACACCCAAAAGGGTTAATCAAAATCTATAAACCTTAAGGCATTTCTCTACTTTCTTAACTTCATCCCAAAATGTGTCTCTCACACAGAAAGAAAATTATAATAAAAACCATGTTGAGAATTTGCTATTGAGAAGAAACTTGCGAGCAAATGTCATTATCAGTATCTCAAAACCCACCCTGAATGATTTTGAAATGCATGAAGTAGCCCACAATTAAAACTCAGATATGATTCCTAAACTGGCTATATTAAAAGCTAACAGCACAATTTCAGCTGACTCACAAACTGTATCTCTTCTTACTCATCTGTGCTATAACACAGGAATCATCTGCACATTTGGGGGTTGTTTTAAAACAATTTAAAACCAAATAATTACAGAGGCACGTGTATATGCAATAACACTAAGTGTGATGGCTTTTGTGATACTGATGAAGTAAACTACCACATGTATTACAATGCTTTATCAATTTAAAAGATTACCGTTAACATAAGGAAGGTGAATGCAGTTATTCCTAGAATGAGGATTTCTTTATTCCCTTTGCTTTCTGTGTGCAACTTGCGGTAATATGGTCCTATGAGATAAGTCTTTATAACAAGACATAGAAGAAAAACAGCAGCCAGAGAAAACAGAATTTGGCCAATCAGTATCAATATTCTCAGAATTTCCTTGAAAATGCTGGAAGAGAACAAACAAAAAGTTTCTTTCAATTGCTCTCATACTTCCCAACCAGTTCCCCATAAATGAAAATACCTAATTCCTTAAATGCTCAAAACTGAATAGCTACAAGAAGGTATTTAGATACACTAGTAAACAAGATTAAGACTAAATCTGCAGAGTACCCAGAAACGTCTTTTACAGTATAGAATTTACTTCCATGTTGACTCAAAGATTTTCATTTATTATCTCCAAGGTAAGCCATTAGGCACAATAATACTACTGCTTAGCCTTTGACAACAACATGCCCTGTGGGAATAAAGTAAGTGAAGAAATTAACTTATTTTTTTACAGTAACAAACTTTTCACTAAAAATTTTATTTACCACACAGGACTAAAGCAGCAATAGGAAAGAGATTATTTTCATACAACTACTTTTGTATGACTACTACAGGTTTCTACTTCACGACAAGTAGGAATAGTAAAGGAAATCTCACTGAACAGAGTACCATTTTCCATGAAGTGACATTGCCAATATGAATGTGAAAGCACTACAGTTAATCTTCATACTAATTGCAAGGGATAGGGGGAAGATCCATACAATGATTTCTCTTACCTGGAATATGTGCTCACTCCTGCTTGAATAAGTGTAGGCATGACAGCTATAAATAAACCAAGTTGCACATCCTGCATCACCAACATGCCAAGCAGTACGCTGCTGTAGTCAATATCCCCTGCACACCAGCAAATTAGTCATGGAAACAGTCATCAGAAACTATCAGAATACTTACAAACACTCAGAAATCTAGAAAAGGCTCAATCAAATGGAAACCCAATATAGCTCATAATGGGCTGAAGGTCATTCAAAGTAGTCTAGGGACTTTTTTCCCCACTAGTAGGTAAATTTAAATGTTTCCATAAGACATATTAAAATACAAACAAAATATTCATTTGGAACTTCTGTTACACAATAAAATCATAGACTTTGCTTAGCAGTTATGCACTGCATTTAGTGAATTTAGTGAAATCCCTCTACTGAGAGTATACAGGCTTTATTCTAAAGACACACATTCGAGCCAGCATGTGTAAAATATACACCTTGAATTTTGGCACTAGAATGAATATTCTAGAGGGTGAGGAGTACTTTAACACAATTTGTATGAGGGAGATTTAAGTGGAAGAAAGCACAATGTCAAAACTTCCAAAAGGAAACATTTAGAAGTATTTGAGAAGCTAGAAATATGGCCCTTGAAAGTTCTTATTCGAAGAGCTGTTAGCTATAAAAGACCATCTAAACTGTTTCCTGAAGAAGGATGTGAATTTTTTAAATTAGCCATTCTGCCCTGATGACAGGTAGCAGTGGGCTAATCTGGTAACTTTTTAAGAAGTTCAAGGATTCCAGATAGTCAGTAAAGTCAGTTCTCAATGGAGAGCACTGGTTGTACTCCACTGTCTTTGCCCAAAGAGGACTGGCTACGTACAAATCAAGCACACTTCCTAGCAAGAATACACACAACACTGGCCAATGTTAAACATAATGATTGTTTGTAAACCAGGCTTAACTAGCTTCTCTTATAATATTACAAAGTCAAGTTCTTTGCAATTTTATTAGATACTACAGTAACCCATATTTAAAGTCATATTTACCTTCTTTATCTCCTCGGACACTACCTGCAAGAAATCTGGACACCAGTGGTGTGCTTGACAAAGACAAACAAGTGGAAATGAAGACGCTCTGTGTTGGTCTAATTTGGAGCAAGTGTCCCCATAGTAAACCAAAGGCAATCATCAGAACTGTCATGTAGCAGGGTCCTTGCAAAGAGATTTTCCACACCTTGGGAAGAAACCAAGTTCTTATGACACTTTCCTCACTGATTAGTCACAATGTTTTTCATTACAAATAAGCATTTAAAGATGTGTGATTTGGGGCTGTAGTACTGGGGGACAGAGTAATGGACTGTCACACTGTATCACCTAAAACTCCCAACTTACTACACTGAGTAAACACCCTACCCCAAAAGACTTCCTACAAGAAACCAGGTGAATTTTCTAAAGCTCACGACAAATTAAGGGCCAAATGGTTCAGTATGGGTTCAAAGACACTAGAATTATCAAATGAAAGACCAGTTATTTGATGTGATTCTCAGATGGGGAAAAATGGATGTGGCAAAGGCAATCACCAATACCAGTAACCTGCTCCAAACACAAGCACAAGTGCACAAGCAATTCTAAAGCTGCAATTTACCTACTACAGTTTAGGAACCCTTGAATTACTGATTTTTATCTTGGACTTTAGATGGATTAGAAATAGCACATTAAGCTAAAAGGTTCTTAAATTGCAATGTATTTCAATTAAAGCTTTTCTAGTATCATAAACTTACAATCATCAGTTTAGGAATAGATTACACAGTGCAATTCTTTATATATATATATATATATACAGTCTTCACATATTTGTAACCATACTTTCCACTATTCTAGCTAGTTTATAACTTTTTCTTTACAAATTAAGACTAAAAGAAACTTGTATTTTTTGCTGAATTCTGATGCCCATATCATTTAATATTCCAGACTGTGTTAACATACTTGCTTAATCATTTTATTAGCCAGTAGAGTATGTATTATCAATTCAGTATGCAGTACTTAAACCTTCTGATTCTTTTTGTAACAGGAATGGCAAAAATCACTGACACTCCATAACAGCAACTGCACATTACTGCATGTTAAAATAAAGCAGAGATGGGACTGTCAAACTGTGAGAGATTTTTCTAGTAATCAAACTGTTTTACTAAAATAGGGAGTAGATGTAGGGTTTTTTGAGACACTGAATAAATAATGCATTCTGTTCTTTCCAAAGTGCAGAAGCAAATGTCACATTTGTCTTTTCAAAAATGTACAAAGCTACACCAGTGTATTGTAGGAAGTGTGTAAAAATATAAAATATAACTGAAATCTGCAATTCCAGGAATTAGCAATTAAATCCCCTAACACAGAGATATTATAAAAAAAATACCTTTCTTAATCTTTCAGGAGAAAATTCCAGACCAACTAGAAATAGAGTGAAGAATACACCAAACTCTCCTAGTGTCTCCACCTGTACAATAGACTTTGGGGGGAAAAAACATCAGTGCACAGTAGTCAACTTATAATACAAAATTATAAGTACACTACAAAACAAATTGATTCTCGTTATGTTTCCATAGGTAGTTCATTTGCTGCTCATATATCACAAGTTCCCAGAGCACTTTTGGAATGCAATTAGTTTCCCATCACCTGACTGATAGTAAGTGATAATCTGGTGGGAGAGTGCTGGTGACCCAATGTTCACATGTGCATTGATCTTGGTAAGTGTTCAGGAATTATGTCTGATCCAGGGTAGCCTGGCTGGCAACTGCAGATTGAGATGGAGACTCAACTCTTAGTGGGAGCCTGCAACATGTCAGTGAACTACCAACCTTTGGGATAACCAAGGGCACGAAGGTGAAGAAGGCAGAGAACCTTGTCAATGGTCAGACTGGGAAGTTTCCTTAACAGTAAGCTTCGAAAAAAAATAGGTTATGTAGGCATATACTATTAAATCTCCAAGGCTTGCATTCCAGAAGCTACTTCTTGCTAGTTATATATAGGTATAATCTTTCTGCTAGACTGTGGTTGCTGTTCTCTTCTCCATCCAACAGGCTCCACACAACCATCTCTCAGACTAGTACAATTACCAGCCTTTGTGCTACAGAGAGTACAGATCAAACAGCAAGAAAAGTGGCTGTCTTCCTCATCACAAGAGAAAAATGGGGATACTTCTGGCTGGCAATGGACATACCCTCACAGCTCAGTCCGGGGTCAGTTCTGTTCAATAGATACATACATCTATCAATGATCAGAATGGAGGAGGTGAACACACCACTCCCAAGTTTGCTGGTGATAGCAGACTGGGAGATGATGTTGACTTTTTTGAGGGACAAGATGCCTTGCAGAAGGATATAGATACACTGGAGCATTAGGCAATGATTAATGGGAGGAAATTATTTAGCAATTCAACATGCTGGATTCTGATCCCCCTAGGATGGGGTAATGCTAGGCACAAGTATGGACTAGGAGGGCAGCCCTGCAGAAAGGGATCTGAGGATGCTGGTGGACAGCAGGCTCAGTGTGAGAGACCAGAGGGCAAACCCTGTCCTGGGGTGCATCAAACAGAGCATCACCAGTCACTCAAAATTATCTTGCTGTATTCAGTGTTGAATGGCCTCAGGCCTCCCCTGAAGCACTGTTCTGGGCAGTTCTGGGCCCCACCACGAAGGAAGATGTGAAGGTCCTTGAACGCATCCAGAAGAGGACAAAACTGGTGGAAAGCTGTCCTGTGAGGAACAGCTAAGAACTCTGGGTTTTCCTAGCTTGGAGAAAAGCAGGATGAGGGGCAACCTCATCATTCTCTACAGCTTCGTGAGGAGGGAAAGTGGAGAGGGAGGTGCTGAGCTCTTCTCATGGGTATGCACTGACAGGATGAGTTGGATTGGTTCAAAGCTGCCCCAGGACAGGTTCAGACTGGACATCAGGAAGCATTTCTTCACTGAGAGAGTGGTCAAACCTTGGAACAGGCTTCCTAAAGAGCTGACTGATGCCCCAAGCTTGCCAGTGTTTCAGAGGCATTTAGACAACACCCTTAAAAATATGCTTTAACTTTCAGTCAGCCCTGAAGTGTCAGGCAGTTGATGGGAATAGTCTATTCTATTTTTAAAATCTAATATTTATTTTCTATGTATTTACTGGTCAGAGTAGAAGAAAACAAGGTTTATCATCAATTACAGAAGCAGGGATGAAAACCATCTTTTCTGCCAGATTAGAATCTGCCTGCCTTCTCAGTTCCTCAGATATTCAACTCTTTTAGGAAATGGAGAAGAGACCAAACACAAGAGACTCAGCCAACATGAGTATTATTCAGGTGAATAATGTTTAATCACAACTCCACAAGAAAAAGGCAAGTCACTTAAACTGTCCTAATGAAACTTTTCTCTTATCTGTTCTTACTACATCATCTTCTTCAATGTAAGTCTCTTGAAAATTCATTGTTGGGTCTTTCTCATGCTAAGCTTACAAACTTGTTCTCAGTTTAAGGGGTCAAACTTTCCAGTTATTCTCAACCCAGAAATTATGTACAAAACAGAGGCTGAGATTATTTAATCTCTTCCAGTACAAGATCAACGAAATCCTACAATTTCTACTAATCCCTACTTTTGAGCCCAATAGAAGCCACGTAGGAGCAGATGTTGCAAAGACAGTAAGTTCCAAGTGGTTTCATGTATATCAGTGCAATAGACACATGCAACTTCAGCAGACATTACTGTGCAGCCCTAGCATGTGTTCTGTTTTGCCTGCTGGCTAAACAATCTGTTAATGCACACCAGAGCACTAATCAAAACATGTCCAGTCAAACACAGCTCACGGTTTCGCAGGAGTCGGTAATCAGGATCCACGTGATGGAGCTAAAAAGGTTCAAAAGACTTCAGGAATGTGTGCAGGGTACTGGGAAAAGAAGAGGGGGACTAGGGTGGATGAAAGCACTATTAGGCCAAGCTATGCTCCTTGGGGAACTATTTGTTTTAAATGCTTCCTTCACTGTGAACACTGACTTTTTGCAAGTTTCTGTATATTTTATGTCATTTAAATAATTTGGCTCCAAATTGTGATGCTTTATGATTAAAATCAAAAAGAAAGAAAGAAAAAAAAACTGACATAAAACTTCCACAACACACAACCTTCAGTTTTCACTTTCAACAACTGTCATAATTTTATAGGAGAAAAAAAGATTGAATACAAAATGATTCAAAGACATAAAATTTGAAGCCCTCCTCTTGTAAAGCTTCAGGTTCGGGGGTATCTTTTTTTTAAAAATACATTTGAGGTTGGCTATACCATATTCTTTTAAAACTACTTTTAGAGATTTCAACAAATTAAATCAGTCAAGAAGTAACTTGCACACTTACCTTGATACTATTTAGTCCTGAGGGTCCTAAGAGTACTCCACAGATGATATATCCAAACATTGTTGGCAATCCTATTGTTGTGCACAGCCAGCCACATGGCAAAGATAACATTCCTATTGTCACAATATCCTAAAGAGGTAAGATTTACAAAGGCATTAATATAAAGGACACATACATTTGGGATGAAATTGAAGGCTATTATCTTTCAAAAGACAAACAGCACCGTAAAATTAAATGGAGACTACTTCCCGTAAAAAAACAAAACTTCTGTAAATTAACCTCAGTGATGTTGCAGGTGTAAGAACAGCAGTTTTTCAGATGAAGCAGATGAGGTACTGACCTTAAGTAACTGGAGGACTTTAAATCAGTTTATAAATATTTAAAATGTATTATAGAAAGTAGGCAATATCCTGGGAGGAATGCCACCTTGCATTAAAACAAGATGGTGAAACAGAACTGTTTTGGGTTTTATAATTAAAACAAAATCTCAATCCAGTTATTCTATATGAAGTATAAATACAATCAAAACTTTACTATGTCTATGTATTTTCCAGTATCCCTTTTTTCATCACAAGGCACAAACAGATAAATTTTCTCTACTGACTACATGCAAGTCGCTTATTAAGCACAGCAGCAGATTTAACACTTTATAGTCTGAGAGAAGGGACAGTGCCTCAAAGGTGCAACAAGAGAAGCTGAATAAAAACAGAGAGGATTCACGTGGCATCATGATCAGTCTTGTGAAGACAAACCTGAGTCACCATAGATGGGGGAGTCATGAATGCTGGGGTAACTTCAGAGACAAATGCTGAAACTATACTCACTACAACCAAGTAGTACTGACTGGCAAACTAGTGGGATTAAATCCAAAAGTGAATGACAAGAATGTCTCTAAAATTATTACCTTTATGAAATGATGATCAGCACGAGGAATGGTTGAATCTCTAGGTTTAGTAAGGATATACTGATTGTTCTGAGAATCAATAAGCATACTAAGACCTAAGTCATCTTCTACTTCTCTTTTTGAAGCATTTCTTTTGGAGTTGGCTTCATCTTCTTCCACCCTTAAAACTGCTTCAAAGTTTACACCTCTTACCTTTAAGAAAAAGAAAACAAATAATCAAACAAAAAAGGGGAGTCAATTAAGCATATAATAAAAAGGGAAAGACTATTAGCTGTGTTTGAAGTTTCTACAGAACTTGTTGACACCAACTAAAAATACTGCAGGTTTCTTCTCTAAAAATCTTTCCATCTCTTTATCAAAACTTGATGTCTTTAAGTAATATTGACGTCTTTAAAAGTAACATCTTACCTTGAACAGAACCAACTGGAGATTACAGAGAGATAGTAATTTTACAAAAATCTGAACTAAAGACTGCACTTCAAGGCAAGAAAAAGTCACTATCCTGTAAATTTGAAGGAAAGATTGACAAGATTATAAGAACTGTTTCTACTCAGTTATTTTCAGGATTTTATTTCTCAGAACAGCAATTCTTGAATGCAGGTTGTAGAGCATTTTTTTTTTTTAATTTTTACCTGGTACACTTCACTATTTGGCTATATTTTAACAGAAGCTTGTGTACCTTTATCAGAATATTGATTATGGTATTAAAGCTTCTCTATTCTAAAATTCCACTGTTTCTTGCAATGATGGAGAAGCACACAGTGCTCCAGGTTGCTCGTGATGATTGCTTTTCTTTCACGGATGGAGCTACAAGCAGAAGAGCGGGGAGACGCCGGGAGAGCGCGGCGCTGGCAGCTCCCGGAGCATCAGGAGAGCGCGGGCCGGGCCCGGGCAGGGCTGCTGTACCCCGGCGGGGCAGGAGAGGGCGCTCCCGCCGGCCCCGCCCCGCCCGCCGCCAGGTGCGGCTCCCACGGGGAACGGCCCGGCCGCTCCCACCTGCTGGGCACGAAATAAAAAAGCTGCTTTCGCCTCCTCTCGATTCGAGCACAACTACCAAAAAAAACCCCTAACAAAACAACACGCGGCTTGGCTCTCTGCTACAGAGAAACTGGTTTTGCCTCCTCAGCGGAATTCAAGAGCTATGCTCACCTCGGGAGTCAACCTGGAAATCAACAAAAACCTCCAAGAGCAGAAGCCAAATAAACTACAACCCCTGTTTATGCAAACAGGGCCAATTTAGGGAGTCTGTCTGAGGATGGCAAAATGGGACACTAAAATAAACTGACGTATTCCTGGCTCCAGGGACATAGCCTTACCAGAAGGATACTGTCCCATCACGCAACATAAAAACAAGGATCAGTGCAGGTAGGCCAAGGTACAAAACACAGAGGAAGTCAGACGTGGAAGAAGGCAACATGACAATCACATTTCAGGTCTTTCCTTAGAACAATATATCTTTTCCCAGACTGTGAAAACCAACTGCAAGGATTCTTGTTCTCCCATAACCTTCTCAGGAAAATGAAGAAGTGGGGAGAGTGCTTAACATGGTAACTCCATATATATCCTGCCAAGTCCAACCATCACAGTCCCCACCACCACAGAGATGCCGTATCTCTCATGGGCTGTATCAGTGACATGGACGACTCTGGTCCCTGTGAAAGCAGCAGTTGCAGGAAAGATTTTCAAACCAAAACCACAGAAATCACTCGCAAAAGGGAGCAATTGCTCCTGTTATATAACAACTATATAACAAAGGAGAAACACAGTGCAAACACCAACTATAAATAAATGCACTCCAATGAAATGACTGAGTCTAAAGCATCACTTACAGATTTGTTGTCATCAAAGGCGTGCTCTTCTATTTCCTCTTCCAATCTATCAGCTGCCTTCCTGACATCTTCCAGAATTTCATCAAGCATCGACAGGCTTTTGTTTTGGTGCTGCATGTTCTTAAGGGCTTCAACCTGGTGTTTTTCTGCTGCTAAGAGTTCAACATATTCCATTTCTTCCTGTTGAATTTTACAACATACAGATGAAGTGTTGGCAGGCCTTTGAGCAGAAAAATCATTTGACAAATGTGTGCTTCTTTTGACACAAAACATTTTATCAGTGGAATTGCAAAAGCAATATAGACGTCATGAAGGTATTTAAAGATTGCTTTTTCTTGTGCCAATTTTCATCGGGTAAGTAGGCAAGAAAAACAATAACCAAACAAAATATCCACCAATTGTCTTTTCTATCACAGTAAACAGTAGACCTGCCCCAAGGTTGTGATCCAGAAAATACAAAAAAAGGATTTACTTTGAAAAACTCTAGGAAACATTTCAGAGCCAAATAAAGTTTAGAACTTCGTGCTTTTGAAGGGAAGCATAATACCTCGAAAGCATAGCTATACTACCTACAACAAACAAACAAATTAGATGTAAAGCACAACGAATCTTAACTTTACAAGCCCTTTTATAAACATAGGAAGAGGTCTGTTTATGGTTTTCAAAAATTACAGTAACTGTGGAAACGGAAAGAAAAGAGCTAGGGGAGAGATGAGCAGCCAATCACTCTAGCCAAGCTTCTGGTTCATGTTTCCCAAAAAACACTTTTCCTATCAGAATTAAAACTTTTCCCCTTATTTCAGTTTGGGCCTCTTATCAACTTGCATTGACACCTTCTGAAATTACTAGGTTTCTGAAGGAGAAAGAGAAAATATGCTATTATGGTATGAAAATATTTCAGTAAGTTCCCTGATAAAGTTTTGATGTCTCATTTTTCTTTGGATCTTTCAGGTTCAAAAACAGAGCTAAAAAGCTTAATTTACTCACAACTGGGCCTAACACCTTTTACATAGCTACCATGACAGTAACCAAACAATACTCTGTGTACTGACAGAGAACAACTTGAGGGTTTTGGGGAAAAAAGATTCTTTCCTTTTCACGCCTGTATTCTTTTAAAGATTGTTGAAGAACAGCTATGAATTAGGAAACATACACAAGGCAGCATTCCTTCTTTTCAGTTATATTCAGGATGCTGAGAATACTTGGATGAGAGAGACACTTCTGCTCTTTTAGAAAGCCAATATTATTAAAAAGGAAAAAAACAGGCAAAAAATTTGCAAGCCATCTGTAGGTCTGACTTAACTCCCAGAAAACAAGTTTCTGTCTCCAAATGCCCTGCCCCTGCCACGCCTAGTTAGAAATCAGAGAACACAGGTCTCCTACAGGCTGTGTGTTTTATCTGCCTACCCTCCATAGACATCTTCAATAACCCAAGCTCATAAAATGGTCCTAAATGCCTATGCTTAAATAACGGGAGTGCCTCCTCCTCTACACATTTGCAGATGAACATTTTTCCCCTTGGAACCTGCAAGAACGTGCACATAATTTAATAAATTCCTTGATGCCAAGACAAGAATATGTTCAGTACAACCAGCAACTGTAGCCGAACCCTTTTAAAATCCTGACAGTCGGATGAATGCCTCTGATTGTGATGAAACCACAGCATTGGTGTCTGTTGAACTATCTGTTATACCCTAATGGTGAAAGTTACCCAGATCTCAAAATAACTGGAGCTGGGAAGAAAGTAACTATTAATGTGTTTGGCCCAATCTCAACAATTAGTTGTTATGCAATATATAAGTAGGAGACACAGTCACTCTCATACAGCCTCAAGGAAAAGCATTTCCTATCTGTTGCTCTCTGCTAGCAGACATTGCTCAAAAGATGTAAGAAACAGCCCCCATATGAGCTGCAGATTCTCTGCTAATTCAGCAACAACTTAGATCCTCTCAAAAATGGAAGAGGTTTTGGGTGCAAGGAGCCCATCTCAGTCCTTTCCATTGGCCAAGACAAACAGGCTGAACAGAGCTAGAGGCAAACTACATAAAAAATAATTCTCTAATTTCAAAGAAGTTAACCTTCTCTGAATGGCAAGGTAAAAAAGCTTTGAAAAAGTAGGAGTTTAGCTGCAAATTCATTCAATTAATGGAGATAAATGCTTTTGTAGTCTATCAAAGTGGCACCTGTTTCCACTAAGAGACAAGTGTGATAGCAGTAAACTGGGACAACCACAGGTAGTGGCACCCATAAAAAGCACGAATTAATTCAAACCACCTGCCACACGCTAAGCAGGAGTGCATCACAGTACAAACACTGTTCTGCAACTCAGGCTGGGATTGGAGACTCTTGATCACCAGGTACATACCAAGCAACCTCTTAAGCAAAGTAATACAGATAAGGATTGTGCACTTAACAGGAACACCTAAAAACACATGAGCAAAATGAAGTAAGACTTTGCAGCAATGCTGATTCAGAATGCAGTGTTGCTGTTGCCCTCTACTATTTAATCAGAGATGACAAAAGCACATGCAGAAGAAGTTGCATCTTCGCAATACTTGCAAGTTATTTTTTTCCACCCGTGTCTGATGAGAAGGCATCCAAGAAATTAGAAGCTAATTAAAAACTAGGTAAGATTTTGTTGCTTTTTCCTGAACTTCCAAAGACGAAGTTCAGTTTCCTGGGGCAAAAGAAGGCAGAAATAATCTTCAGTGCTTCTTTCTTACTTCTCCCTGCCCCACACCATGAATTACATCTTTTCACAGCAGCAGAACCAGGAAGAAATGCATTAGATACATATACATATCCCAGCACTAATCACTTCCAAGCACTTCAACTCAACAGAAATACAGGGAAGAGTCCAGCACCCCTTACAGTTATTTGTATTTTCCATTCATTCACTGTTTAAAATGTAGATATTCAATGAGTATACCAACAAAATAATCATTACAGTAAAATGAAACTGGGACAAAGTTGGACCTAATGCATGCCCTATAAAGTAAGAACAAGTAAAAAAAAATGCATCCCATGAAATGTTCATCTTTTTGACATGCATTTTTCCATAATCTTTGCTTCTCTTTATACAATAATTATAAGGTTAGAACCACAAATATTCTGTTTAAACAACTACACGCATGACATAAGATGGAAGGTGCAAACGATTGCTCACTCAAGTAAATATTTTGACAATAGAAAAAAAGCCTGCACAATCCACTTCCGCAAAAGTAAGTTTTTGACAGGACACACCTCTAAAACACATAATTGTACACAAAGGCCTCGTTCTAGGAGAAGCACCATTCTCAAGTTCAAGGATAAATTGCTTCATTATTTTACAGTAACATTACCAAGAATTAGGTAAATGGGAAAGAAGGTTCTGGACAGCCTCACTGCTGCTATTTTACAAGCTCTGAGAAAGAAAAAAGGTGGAAAATCAAGTAAAGCTCATGACAACTTGACAATTTCTATGACATTTCTATACAGCAGAGGCTGGCACTACCATAAAGTATCAATATACAAGTCATATAAACTCATTGGAATACATCTCGACCCAAACTACTCTATTCAAATTTGTTGTAATTCAGTCTTCATTTCCACTGCACAGAATCGCTCTAGTCTGCCAAGTTTACATCCTAATTTCTAATTCCACCAGCCTATCTTGGCACAATTCACTGGACACCTTTCCCACACATAATTTCTTTCCATTTTTACCTGTCAAGATCTGCACATTTTTTACCACAAAAGCCCTTCAGAGACTCTCACGACTCAAATGCTAAATGCCAATTATATTTCTGTTCCTTCCCTTGCTCCCTTGTGCAAGGGGAGCCTCTCCTTTTGGAAGTCAGAAAACAAAGAAAATTCTTAATATATTTCTCCAGTGGTTGAGGAATAGAGAAAGGGAAAGAGCAATTTAAATACCAAATACATTAAATTATATTTTCTCTCAATGGGAGACTTTCAGTACACAGTCTGAGCATTATCAAGTCCAGAAGACAGTGGCAGATTGTGCTCAACCTAATGGGACATGGGAACTCAGACTTTCCATGAAGTATTTGTGTTCAACTGTTACTCATCTGTGTTTTTTTCCTGGCAAAGTTATTTTGGCTGATTCTTTCTTGGAAGCACTGCTTTCCAAACCTGCACTTCTTAGGCTAGGAGTGCAATACTGAGTTTAAAAAATCTAGTCACCTACTGTTTTGCACGTCCATTTTACCTATATCTATACAAACATAGAAATGAAAGGCAGCAAGTCATTCTCTTTTAACTGTGGACTTTGGTTGAGCAATTCTCATTTAAAATGGATTTCACCATTTGATGGCATTATTTCCACTCAGCTAGTGCCACTGACTTGTCTAGTGCAACTGTGCTATGTGCACTCCTTCACTTTTATTCCCCTCCCTTTAACATTCTGTTTGCCACAGGTCTTATAATTATGCTTAGCTTTGAGATAAGAGCTAATGACGGCTAATAAGTTTTAAGCTCTACACCAGAATTACTTGTAAATTTACTAATGAAAACAAATACTACATTAAACAGTAAACATTGCAAGTTTTATGTAGATATCCTTTTTTATTAAAACAGGCTGAAACTGTGCCATAGTAAAATTAAAACTGCAAGTAGAATATGAATACTCTAGTAACAAACAAGAGCAAACCAACCTTAATTGCAGCTTCTCTCAAGGCCTCCAGTCTCTGTCTACTGCTTTCTTTCATGTTTACAACATCTTTGTAATCACCCTGTAGAGCTCTCTGGAGGCCATGGATTGCCTGAAAGACTGAGTTTTCACTTTCATTTAGTTCCTTCTGGAAAATTTCAAAGGTGTGCACCTGGAAAAGTTTCTCTTCATCAGACAGTCCTGCATCCTTCTCAACTGCTCTTATGGCATTTTTTAATTTGTTGAGAACAACGTTCTTTTGGCGCAGAAGACCAGACAGTTTTCTGCAGCTCTCCAACACCCACTGCTTCCTCTGAGTGATAACAGCTCCCTTCCCCCGGTGCAGCTTTATTGCATGCTTCACTACATCTTCACGTTCTGCAGGGTTTGCTAACGGGCCACAAGGCAGCGAAACCAACGTCCACAGGGAAATAAATCCAGTCGCCTTCATTCTTCACTTTATATTGCTCTTAGGAGAAACTGATAATCCACAGCTGGCTCAAAGCTTTCTGCTACATGGTTCCTGCATCTCCAGTATGAGCACCAGGCTGCAAGATAATACCCATCAGTTATCAAACACGGTAATGTTGGGCGATTAGATCAAAAAAACGCAGAAAATAAACCCAAGGCTGCCTCCTGCACTACAAGCCTTAGCAGAACACATCTTCTTCACTCAACACTTATGAAAACCAAGAAACAGTCTGAGGTTACTGATAGATTTTTGTTTTCCCTTTGATTATCTCCTAGATAACATTTTGTTTTAAAAGCACTGACTCGAAAGCTTATTCACTTCATATGGTCACTTCTCACATGAAAGAAAATCCTTAAAATATCAGGCCATGATGTCATAGGCTGCGTTTCAACCCAACACTCGAACTCATTATTCTTAGCTATCAGTAAATCTCCTATCCTAAAACATTGTATCATAAAAATTTCTTATTCATAAAGTCTTAGAAGCATTAACAAACTCAACTACACACATTCAACGTAACACAATAATAATAAAACTTAACTGAATCAGATTACATTATAAATCATAACCGTGGAAGAAAGAACACCAAAAGTTCCTGGATTTATGAGTGCTACTGGTTTGGATCAAAGACCTCCTTCATCTGAAAGGTTGCGAGGCCTTGAGGTACTTTATTTCAAAACCTATTAGGGATCTTCAAGATTTTAAAATAAACTATAAAAACACTAAATCAATTCATTCATAAGTTCATTTCCCAGCAACTGCCTGAAGATCTATACTTAAACTGCTGTATTTAATTTTAACACAAAGCAGGATAGAATTTAAAAACTAATTTCCTTCCCACAGAACCTAGAAGGAACCACTGACATTATTGCACATAATAAGTTACATTTTCTTTTAAAAAAATTCAAAGAAATATAACAACCCTCACATCACAAAGCTACACACAGCAATATATAAAATTTTGTACATTGCATTCTAAAAACTCATATCACACACATGTTAATAGATCAGCAATACAGCAAGTACTTCCTTATAAATTTAGTTACAGTCTTGATCACTGGGCCAGCAGCCTTAATCAGGAACCAACACATGGACACAGTCTGCCTAACAGAGAACCTGCTTTTCCTACAAGGCAGTAGCAGTCACAATCCCAGATGTCCAAGCCTGCCACCATCAATACATAGCACGAGCTCTGAGCAACCTGGTCTAGAAGATGTCCCTGCCCACGGCAGAGGGGTTGGAGCCATTGGTCTTTACAGTCCCTTCCAACCCAGGGCATTCTGTGATTCCATGCGAAGGGAACATGGCAAGCATAGTCATGTGCTACCTTCATTTTCTAAATGCCCTCTCATCTCCGTTTCAGAGAGAAATAAGCAAATCGGTCTGTGGGTTGGTATATATCTTTTTTCAATGCATGAAATGCAAGCCAAAGTATTTAGTTACTAATAGTTGACTGGGCTAGGGTTTAACAACACAGGGAGCAAAAACATTTAAAAATAAGAACTGAAAGTGCAATCAAAGTAGCAAAAGCATATCACATCAGTCTTATACCAATAAAATAATAAAGTACAAACATTTTGGAACTTCGATAAAGCTTACTAATTTTAAGGAATTAGGAAAATAATAATCCCCACCCACCTGGCAAAGTTCTAGAGTGAAATTTAAGGAAATATTTATTCATATATACAAACTAATGCTCTCCCTGTTTAGTAGGCTTGGGGCAGAGATTTTGCTAAATATGTATTACAACCTATTTCTGCAAGAAAAAGGGAAAAGAAAACACCCAGTGTATACCCAAGGTGAGTAAAAGACTCTACTGCATGCCTCATGTGGTACATCAAACCACTTAACTAAATTTTGAGCAGAGATTTACACCAGGAAAGTTCACTCACTGTTGAACTGTGCAAACTTAGCACTGTGGTTCACACATGGGACAGTTTTGTTTCAGTGCTTTTTACTCGGCTAGCAAAATCTGTTTAGAGGAGCGACACCTGAGGCAATGCTCAAAAGCTCTTAATGGAATAAAGATCTCACGTACCAAAATACATGATGCGATGCTGAGCGGAAAAAAAAAAAAAAAAAGGCAAAAAAACCTAACACTCGTCTGCATTCACCACGACTAAGTATCACATAGGAGGGAACTACTGTCGCCTGGAGTCCTTATTTAAGCAGCGTTTGCTTCCGGCTGGATTGCAGCTCATCTTCCCCCTTTTCCCTTCCGGAACACAACACTGTAGCACCTGATTTCATCAAGCTGATAATCCGGGACCCTGCCTCCAGACCCCTCTTGCGGCTCCATCCGCATCCGTGGGCTCGCCTCCACTCGCTCCGTTTGGCAGCCCCAGCTCCTCCCCGGGAGCCGCAGGGCAGGCGGGGCCGTGCCCGCCCGGTACGACCACACCTGAGCGCGACGGCAGCGCCCGCCGCCGCTCCGTGGGGCAGGCCGGGCGGACGGCGGGGCACGGGGCGAGAACAGGAGGAGAAGAGTGGAGCGGGGGGGCGACCGGCCTGGCTCCCTCTCCCTCATGGCGGCGGAGGGACGGGGGAAAAGAGGCCGCCCCCCCGGCGCTCTCGGCAGCGACGCTCACCTGAGGGACGGAGGAAGGCCCGCAGCACCGGGGCGGGAAGGGCGGGATCGCAGGGCGGCGAGCACGGGTGTAAGTGGGCGGCGGCCGCTGGCGGAGGGCACCGAGCAGCCCCGTCCTTGCGGCCGCCCCTCGCCCCGCGCCGGTGCCCGAGCGCCGGGGCGGCGCCTTGGAGCGCAGCCGGGCGGGACCTAAGCTCCGAGCGCCGCCTCGCGGCGGGAAACGTCACCGCGGCTTCTCGCCGCACGCCGGGAGTTGTAGTTGGAGCCGCGGCCCCGCAGCTGCTCCAGCGCCGCGGCCGCCGCCGCTCCCCCCCGGGCAGTGCCGCGGGCTCCGCACCGCGACCCCGCGCTCCGCCTCTGCGGCCCGGGCCCGGAGCGCTCCCCGGCGGGAGGCGGCGCGGGCGGGCCCGTGCGCGCCTGCGCGGGAGGCGGCGCCGGGCGGTGAAGTTGGTGGGAGCGCCGGTGATAAAATGGTAGGTTGTGCGAACTGGGGGGGAGGGGAGGCGGTGAAACTGTGGAGGGGGAGCCTCCGACAACCCCTAGGCACCCCCCGGCCTGGCGAGCCGAGCGTCCCCGCACTTCTCGCCGCGCCGAGTCCCGTTGTCCTGCCCGCGGAGGCGCCAGGCGGGGGGGACGAGCGGCGCGGGGACACGGGGACGCGCACCCCCCGTGCGGAGTCGCTCTCCCGCCGCCTCCTCCGCCGGGCCAGGAGCGGGGAAGGTCACCGGGGGCGGCGGGGGAAGGGAGGGGGCCGGGCCCCGCCGCGGGTATTTCGAGCGCAGGCAGCCGGCGCAGCGCGTACCTTTCCCTTTTTTGGGATTGGGGCTGGCGGGGCAGGTTACGGGAGCTGCGAGTCCCCGCTCCCACCGGCCCCTTCCCCGCCGCGGGACGCGGCAGGTGCAGCCTGAGGCGGTGGGAAAGGTGTGGTACAAATTCCCTTGCAGGCTTGGGGTGACGAGGTCGGCCGGGGCTGTTTTGGGAAGGAAGGGTTTTCCCGGTGCCTCTGCAGCAGCTTCAGCGCTCCCCTGGGGTGTGCGGTGCGGTGTCACTAGCGCTGGGAGAGGGCTCCGGGAAGGTGACTGAGCTGTGGCTGGATGCGAGGTGCGCGTCCTTGCCGGGGTGCCATCGGCGGGGGTCACGCTGGGGACAGGAGGGACAGGAGCTGCAGAGCCGCCCCGGCCCCGGGAAGGTGCGCGGTGCCGCTGCCGCCGCAGGCACCGGCCGCGGACGGGCGGTAGGAGCCGTGCTACGTGGCAGGGTAGTGGGCTGGGGAGTCCTGTGGGTTTCTTACCGCTTCAAGTAATTCAGTGCTTCATTTCGCTAGAAATGAAGCTAGAAAATATCCGTAAATACCTGGCGTTAGCTGGACTTGAAAGAGGACATAGGGTTTGCTTTGGCGTTGTTGGCGGAGTTCTCTGTTTTGAATTGATTATCGCTAAGTTTGTTGCCCAGAAGAAGTTTATGTAACTGAGGAAGATGTAGGTGCAGAGACTCCCTTAGCTAAACCTTCATGAAAATTTGGAGGCAGGCTGGAGCTTGCTGCCAAATGATGTTTGATTATTTCCTTACCAGGCTATGTTGTATTTTGCACGTTTTTCCTCCCACTGTACACATATCTTATATAAAAAGAAATCTGGCACGCTTCTTCTTATATTTAATTGAAAAATCTTGTGGGAAAGACCAAACTCCTTATCTTGTTTACATGATGTGTTTCTTGTCTCAGCACCATCTATAGTCAAGATGTCCATATGGGTACAAGAGATAAAAAATAAACTGATAGTCTCTTGTTTACTGCTCACTGGATCAGGATTCAGTTCTCTTTGAAGAGACCCATACATTTTCCATTATACCTGATGATTTAAACTTTAGTGGGGAATTTATACAAATTTCTCATCTTAATTGTTAGCTCAGAATACGTGTTAGGTATGGTTTAGTAAAATTGGGAAGTACAGAGTACAGTGAAAAACAGTTTGATTTAAGCTATCTCCTTCTGTTTCCAACTTCATGTAAAGAACAATGTTGAAATACATTACTAGCAAATTTTTTTCCCTGTAAAATGTCCATTCTTACCTCTTGGGTATTCCAGAAGTTTAGGGATATTGTCTCAATATGGTTGCTGCAACTGAGAAAACATCATATTAGTTCCTGTAGACCTGCAACAGGCTTTTTTGTTGTTTAATGTGTTAGTAGTATAAACATATTTTTCGAAGTTTAATTAACGTTTTAGATCACATTTACAGCAATCTTATAGTTTCATTGTAACATTCAGCCTCGTCCAATATGTCCATTTCTTCTATTTTATTTTTGCCTCATGTCTTCTGTTGGTAATGTTTTATAACATAATTAAATGAGAAACGTTTCTGCCTTTTTGAGCTGATGACTTAAAATGATTAAGCTTTGCACTGTTAATTGTTGCTAAGAAAATATTAGGAAAATTCTGGGGTATTTTTTCTCCATGTATGGAGGACTTATACAGAATTTGAGAATCTGTAAGTTGCACCTTTTTAATTTCTTTTTTTTACAACCACTAGGCATATCTTTCAGAAGATAACCATATTGTAATATGACGAAACTTGTGTTTACTGCTGTTACAGAACAGAAAAAACGTCAGCATATGTGAGCAATAAAGCAGAAATACAAGTTTGTTACTGACAGAATATGTGCTGCTAAATATGTATATATAGATGCTGTCATTTCAATTTGCAGAAGAAAATGCTGTCTATTTAACTGCAGAAGAACAAGGAAAGTTGTCATCAACAAGAAAACTAAAACCTTTAAAAGATAGGAATTAGTAGTAGAATGCTGAAACAAACTTCTGGATTAGCTTCATTGGCTTTCCTGCTTCTTTTGCATCCCAAAGCATAAACTGAAATCGTCCCAGAAGGACAAGGTCCGCCAGTTTATGGCATTTACCCAGGCTGGTGAAAGGACTGCTATATACTGCTTAACACAGAATGAATGGAAACTAGAAGTGGCAACAGACAACTACTTCCAGAATCCAGACTTGTACTACAAAGAATCCATGAAAAATTCAGTAGACAAGAAGAAATTAGAACAACTGTATAATCGATACAAAGGTAAGGTTTCGTTTTCTGGGGAGTTTTTGGTTAGTGGGCTTGGGCTTTTTGTTGTGGATTTTATTCTGTTTTTTTCTGAATTATGTTGTGTGAGGAGTTTTTCTGCTTTTCCCTCTACCATTTTTAAGGAGTTTTAAGTTAATCGTGCTAGCTTTTGCTTCTCACTATATGTTTATAGTAATAAGATAAGAATGGAAAAAGGTTTTAAATGCTCTTAATGATTTGTACTCAACTTCTGTAGAGATTTCCCTAACCTTTAGAAGTAGGAAATTAAACTTATAGTGAGGAAAACGTGCCAGCTGTCAAACATGGTAGCAAAGTTTATTGTGCAACTTACATGGGTTTTTTGCCCGTAGCTGCTCTTAAATGTGTATGATGGTCTTTCCATGGCAAAATAATGCATATTGTTCTTATGCTAATATTTGGGGAAACTAATTCTGTTCAGAGACAGTAATATTTCTCTACATTAAAGTCAAAAATGTTTCAGATAACATTACAGCTAGGAGTGTGGCAAAACAGTCAGATAAGAAAGCAAAAACTAGAAACATTTAATTCCTTAATGCTGCTGTATTACAGCAAAAGTGATGTGCCGTTTCAGAGAGTCTTGGAGGGAAAACCACAGGAAAGTGGATCAAAAGCAGAGTTTCTTCTTTTCCAAGTTTCGTTTTACATCATTGTTAAAAAGAACGGCAAGATATAGGCATCTAAATATAAGAATGTATGTGATCCAGGTGACAGTGCTTGTTGCATTGTGGCCATGTGACATGGGTGTGCATTGCTCATGTTGGAGCAGTGCAGGCTGGAATCATTGCTAGCTCCCGTTGAAATCAATACATCTCATGTTTGAAAACATGAACTCTTAACCACTACTCAACTATGATTTCGTGTATTTTTCTAAGTGAAATATATGGTATGCTTTGTGTACACTTTGTCCTTTTTTTATGTTACTGTTTCCACCATTTTTGTTCTTCTTTACATAATCTGTTCTATTTTAAGTGGGGATTCTTTAATACTTCATTATTGTGTGGTAATGAATTATGTAGGGACCATTAAATAGGCACCAGTGCTATAGCATTTCTTTGTGGAAACAAAAACTCAGAGACAAGACTCGGAGAACATGTCTCTGTTTTATGTGTGCCTATGTGTATATTTTTATATATATATATGTATATATTTTTATATAGCATATACATAATATGTATAACATATATACATATAAAAATATATATTTTTAAAATGTATATAGCATATACATATATCTGTATCTTTTATTTGCTCCTTGAATGTCAATCTTGGAGATTGCTGGGTCAAAAATATATATTCAAATTCATAAATGCTGTTAAGAATATCTAAAATGGAAGAATATTATCACAAAGATTATCACGAATGTTATTTATTGTTTACAGAATTCAAGCAGTGGCAAACTGCACCATCTGACTTTTGTGAAAGCAAATCTAGCCAGTTTACATCAATGTTTTAGTTAGCAGCACACCTTTGCACTTCTGGTACTTAAACACTGAAGCTGTAAACGTTAAAAACTTTCACAAGATTTGACAGAAGTCTATAAAAGTTTTGGTTAAGCACCTTTCCTTGATTCATATCTGGCTTAAACCTGAGTAACTGGCCTCTCAACAGTAAGGGATTCCTTTGTTCTGCAAGGCCTGTAGGATAGTGCACTATACTGAAAATCTGAAATGTCTTTTTCTATGCTGTTTTTTCTTAGTTTTCCTACCTGTTTATCCAGCAACTCTGTCAAAACAGCAATTGCAATTTTGTTACTACTTGCCTGGATGGTGTGAAATACGATAGGCGTGAAAAGTCCTTGTTGAAATCCACCAGAATTTTTCTACTCATTTCAAGACAGTGCGCATCTTGCTTTCTGTTCTTCAGTTACTCCTCAGACACTCAGGAAATATGTTTTGCATGTCTTAGAACTAGCTGAATAGATATATTTACTTGTTATTTGGGATCAAAGGTCCCTGAATTATACCATGGGTGTAATTCTTGGTTTAATAGACGTAAGTCTGTTTGCCAAATTAACTTCCTCTCTCGAATTTACGATTTCTTTCACTGTAGCATTGGCTGGAAAAATAAAAGAGCTCCTAGCTCAAGAATTAAAATTCAAAAGATTTTTTTATAGCCAGCATACATAGCCCAGCTTATGATATTGAAATGTCTTCCTATCAAAAGCTGGGAAACACGGTTTTGTGGTTTGTAAAGTCTCAAGCTTTAAAAACTAGAGGTATGGGTTTATTTTCTTTTGTTTTCAATTGTTTTTTTTCTTCTCCAGTTATCTAAGTTTACATGCAGGGGCTTGTTTGTTTGGGGGCTTTTTTGGGAGAGAATTTTGTTACAAAATTATGATAGGCATTAACTGACATTCAAAAAGGTACTACTGAGGAAATACTATGTTTCATGTGTACTAAATTGTATTAATTAGCTGAAAAGGATGTTATGCTAAGGCATTGTTTGAACAATGGTTTGGTGATTTCCCTGACTTATAATTAAACCCCCAAAACATTTAAATGTGCTCTTTAAGTAGATATAGTGGATACCCATATTTCACTATCCAGAAAAAAAATCTGAGGTCTAATGTGGTAGGTGTGTTTTGGTTGGACTTGATTTGGAGTTGTTTACCTTTTAAGTTTAATACATGCTGACCAATATAAATATATTTCTCTACACGCTGACCAATATAAATACGTTGAACATTTTGATGTGTTTATTACTCTCACTGTTTCTAAATGTAGGCAGCATCTCCTGAGTTAATTAAAATCTTTTATAGATAGTTGTGGAGGGAAACAAAATTATTTAGTTTATGTTAGCAGATAAGTTCAGGAAAAGTTGCAAACCAATTTCTCTACAAGTTTATAGAATACTTAATCTGTTTACTGATTCTTTTCTAAAAATATCTAGACTTCAAGTGAAAACATTTGTGAAGGTTATGAAAAAATGAGTACCTGTATTTATGCAGCACATCAGAGCTGTCAGATGATTAATATGTTTTGTAAATAATTATAGTTCTTCTCTTTGTATTTTGAATTGCAGACCCACAAGATGAAAATAAAATTGGCATTGATGGGATTCAGCAGTTCTGTGATGATTTAAGCCTGGACCCAGCCAGTATCAGTGTTCTGGTTGTGGCATGGAAATTCAGGGCAGCTACTCAGTGTGAATTCAGTAAAAAGGAATTTATTGATGGCATGACAGAGTTGGGGTAAGTATCAGTTTCTGTATGTTTTATAATGTAAGGCCTGAACCATGTTTCTGTTCAAAACATTTTCAGTTAAATTGTGTGAAGCTTAAAGCTGTTGAGGCTAGTGGCCAAGCTTAACAGGTGCAAAATGCCTGTAGTGTCTTGTCTTCCTTGAATTGGTGCTTTACTGCAAAGCCTTAATGACCACAGTAGGGGGGAAGCTAAACAATTTTTACCTGTACAGCAGGGGAGCCAAATGGATTCATGTATCTTTTTATGTAGTTCATAGCAAGCATATGCATATTTGTGTTAAGGATTTGAGTTGGACCTACTGCTGTTAAAAACTGAAAGTCACCAGAGATATATGAAGGGAAAAAAATGTCAGTGTTGAAGCAGAGAAGGAATAGGAAAACAGAAAAATGCCTTCAAATCTTGCCCTTTTCCTTGCCACCAGCAAATGGGTCTATCTTTCTTTTTGTCCATTTTACCGCCTATACTTTCCTCTCTTTTATACTAGATACTTCATATGTACAAAATATGCATGAGGAATTGAAATAAAAATGAGGAATATTGGTAGTAGAAAAGATAGGTGCAACTGTGATGTAACTGATAAAAGTTTCCTTCCTGGATTATGGAGCTATTCTGGATTATAAACTTTGAACATCTTCTTACCAATAAAGTCAAGCCTTTATCATCATAAAATAATACTTTGTGTATAACTTTTCCTTGCAAGAGGAACAGCATTTCTAATATTTAGAGATGTCTAATGACTCTTTTTAACAGTTTGCATTAAATGGGTGATTAAGTACAGTTACTTGTTCTTGGTTTTTTGTAGCTAAACAATTTCATTTGATCTTAGATTGGCACCTTATCAATACATTTCTAAGACCAACTTTTAGGAAATGTGGTTGTTTCTTTAGCAGAGATTGTGGCAGTATGATGTTACTGACCTCAGTTATTGATTTCTTTTAAGTTTTCCTTTTTTAGCAAATTGTGATGAAATAACTGTGGATACAATCTGAAGTTCATTGCTTTATTTTGTCCCATTGGGTAGCTCTGGGTAGAAATTACAAGAATAATTACGATTTTCTAACCATGGACAGAAATGAAATGCTGATGCTATTATAGTAAAGCTTGCCAGCATTTTTTTTTTCCATAAAAGTGATTAAAAAGGTTTTGCTAGACCACCTGTTCTTGGAACAACAACTGTTCCCGGGAGCATAGTATGGATATGCCTGCTTGCCACAGTACTTACTGAGAATGATTTTTGTTACATACCTGGAGGCACAGTGTCTCTAGTTTTTAGCAATGAACACAACGGAGCAGTGGAGTGGAAAGAAGTTCCCTGAGGTTTAGATCACATAGCATCTTTAGGATGCATGTGGGAAGGTATATTTATTGACTAGATCAAGTCCCAGTGAAACTGAGCTTCTCAGTTGAAGACTGTTGGCAGAATTCTTCTTTTCCACGAGGTACCTGCTGCAGGCCAGAAAGGTACTTATTTTTATCTGTACCATGCAAGACAGTTAAAACTGCATTTGTGTTGTTACAGTTACCTATCCTTTAATAGAATTTTTTCTTGAGTCTTTAGAATAAATGCAAACATTTAACTATGCAGAACTTTCAAATACACAGTGTTAGTTGTGATAGCTGCTTCTTTTGAAACCCATTTGCTTCACTTTGAGTTTCTAGGTACAATTCAATGTATTGGTCGTGTCCTGTAAACCTTGAATATTCATTTGATGCCTTGTGGCAGAAACACTTGCCTGATGTTTTCACTGAAAATGCTTTGGTGGTATTATTATGGATGTGTGTGTTAGAATTTCAGTAATTTGATCCTGTCTTAGCTTGTGCCAGTCTTTAAAGTTTGCCAGCCTTCAGGCTATCATTCAAGACTCATTTTGTTCCTTGGTTTTATTCTCAAGTGTTCTATCATGTTCTATGCCTACGAATAATAGTTCATTTAAATGGAAAGTTCTCAAATGTTAAGATGAACTGCAAAAACGTGTGAAGCTCTTCATTCAGGAGAGCAGGGAATAAGCAATGTCTATCCAGATTAAGCAAAACATCACACACTTGTGTCACAACATCTGTCTCAGGGGAAGGAATAACCAAGTTCAGTGAGGTTTGGGTATTCTTTAAGAACAGAATAGCATCTGTTCAGAAATTCATGAAGGGATAGAAAAGAAGTTAAATCACTGAATCTTGTTCATTCTGTACCTAATGGATGCCTGTATACAATGTTCCATTAAAATTCTTTAGTAAAGGCACATGAACATTTATGTTTTCAGAATGCTATCCAACAAGATAATCTGTTTTGTCTTAAACACAGTTTTGTTTTGCTCTTAAACTAAACCATAAAAAAGGTGGGGGGAAAGTAGGGGGAAATTTTAAATATATGCAAATAATGTAATCTCTTTTAAACAGATGTGACACCACAGAAAAGCTAAAAGCTTTATTGCCAAGACTGGAACAAGAGCTAAAGGATCCAGCAAAGTTCAAAGATTTTTATCAGTTTACTTTTAACTTTGCTAAAAATCCTGGACAAAAAGGTCTAGGTAAGTAGAAAAAAATGAGAAAATGTCAGTAGTCAGTGAAGTCTTCCAGATGTTTCCAGAACTACAATATTCTCATTAGCGATTATATAGTAAATTCATTATTGATTTTTCACTGATTTCTCTTTCCATCTTCTTTATTTAATCTCTTCTTGATGTCCCCTTGGTACAGATAATTTAATGGGGTTCTCTGCCAATATTGACATTCTCTCACCTCTTGTCAAAAGAAGTTCCTGAAGTTCTTTGAGACTTGTTGATTTATTTATTTTTTTTTAATAATGAGCTAGTGAGCTCTGTGTGTTAAGAACTACTGAAACATGATGTCCATATCAGCTCAGGAAGAGGGAGAAAACTGGGCAAAAGTTACTGTTCATAATTTTTAGTTTAAGTCAGTTTTTATGTAAAGTTTAGAAAAAGGGTATTATAGACTCGGTTTAAAACTAGTGAATAAAAATAGGCAGGGTTTATATCGCCTTAAACTAATATTCTTCATAAAATTTGAGATTTATTCCAATTTATGCCTTATATTGCTGGAGTAAAACGGATACATCATTCAAATTCCGTTCTTTTTCTTCAAATCAAAAGTCTCTGGTTTGTGAATAGATGAAAAAAATAGTAAGATGAAGTCCACTCTTTTAAAATTTCTATCTGCTTTCAGAAGATACTGTGTAGAGTTAAAGTTTTGTATATAGGATAGCACTGTACCATCATCCCTGTTATTTGTACTGTGTGTGAGAGGAAGTGGTTTGTTGGGTTTTTTGAGGGTTTTTTTTGTTTGTTAGTTTTCTTTAGCATAGTCACTTTAAACCTGTGTCTAAGTTACTTGGAAAGTTGATAAATATTTTTCTCAAGAACTGTTGGGAGAGCAGAATATCAATGTAGACTTCAACGAGATGTGCCTGTTCCACATTCTTTACTTTGAAAAATCTCATCTTTCCTGGTGTCTTTTTTTTTTTTATATTTAGCCTGTGGACAATTTTCAGGACAATGTTTATATTTTTCTTCATTTTTTTCAACAGTTTCATGTTTCATTTCGTCTGTCGCTCTCTCATGGCTCACAGGCCACTTTTATTGACACAAAAATGAAGAACTCCTGTAGTAGGCTCTGTGAGGTTGGTTAGTATTCTAGTCACTTAGCTAGCCTTCGTTAACAAAGCTTAGTACTTTCAAATTGCAGGAAAGGTAATTCAGTTACAGCTGAGGTTGGAATTTATGAGATACCTACAGAAGTATCATATGTAGCTTCTTGTTTTAATTGGGTTATTCCAATATGAAACTCATGAACTTGGGCAGTACATTTCTAAAGCTTTTCACCTACGCCTGTAGGAAGAGTGGAGGAGGAGGGGAGGCAGCCCAACCCAGATTTGGAACTGAATGTACTGTTTATTTGACGTGAAGAGGAAGCTGACTTGTTTTCCATTACTCCTTTTTATTCAGTATTGGGGGTCCTTTCATTTGCAAGTCTGTCTTCTCTGTTGTGTAAGATATTTTATTGCCAGAAAGTACCAAAGTTGCTTCTTGTACTAAGAGTTGAACTATTAGCAGGAGAAAGTAAGAAGAGCAAAAACTGAAGTGAAACTTAAACTATGAAATGAATTAATGGGAACTGCTCCTGATTTCAGTTTTCAGGAATTTTAGTAATTTCATTAATACTTACAGTCTCTTAATTTCTAGTACTTAGTTCTTGCATGACAGTATATTGGTGGCATTTTTCAGCATACCTTTTCTGGTTTTGCTAAGATGATTCTAGATAGTAAAGAAATATAAGCAGATGCTACTTTTCTTACTTTAGTGGAGATGCATCATATTTCTTGGATCACCATAGGTTGAATAGAAAGACTTTGGAGTAAATATATGGACTAATGTGGCAGTTTTGAGTGATTGAGGCCAGTGATAGCTTACCCAAATAAAAAAATTAGCGCTGTATAGGTTTGGAGTTGGAATCTTTTTACAGAGATTATCCATCATAGTGGAGCAAAGAAGTGAAGGAAAAGAAGTAAATTTACGGGTAGGTGTTTGTAACAAACACAGAATGAAGCAGTATGTTGTAACCAAGGAAGAAAATCCTACCACTTACTTTTCTGGAGGGCCTGTATGAGCTGAGAAGTCTAGTTGCTTCAGCTACATTTAATACAGGTTTAGGTTGTTTGGGTTTTTTTTTATTATTTCACATCCTCTTCTCTGTATACATTCATGTATTTTCTCCTGGAATGAGAAACTGTCCATCTTTGCTCCCTGTCTCCAGGATTGTTTTGTTTTTGTGTCCAATGACTGTGTGCCCTATTGTCAAGGAGATGTGGAAATTGATATCAGCCATGTACAAAGTCTCTTTCTGTCTTACTCAGTTTGGAGCCTTTACTTGATTAAGTCCAGATAGTCAAACAGAATGAGTAATTAGATTTGTTACCATCTGAGTTGGTAGAAATCTCTGCCTAGCTCTGTCTAGGCCATCTTACCATGATGACCTCTCCTTCTTCTGCACATGCACATTAGATGACATTCAGTCAATATAGGATGCTGCTTAGCTCCTGCCCAAACTACTTGCCCTAAAGTCTTTCTGGTAAATTGTAACTTGGAGGAGACTGAGAGGTCTATAAGTTTATGTCAAGTAAAGGATAAAAATGAATGGTTTGAATTAATGAAGTGGAAATAATAGAGGAATTCTTTCCTAAGTTTCAGTTGCAGAATATTTTAATGTGATTTTTCTAGGGTCTGAAATATTCAGTGCTTTTTCTTATTAGACTGGGAGCTTAAATCATTAAGTCTGGTAATTGTACTCATTGGTTAGGGGACTGATCTGTAGACTGAAAAATACTGTTTGATTTTTGAATATATACATGACCTATAAATGTGCCTATTTGAAAACTAAGCAAGTTTGTCATAGCCAGTGACAAATGAGGAATTCATATTCTTAGCAGATTGTTAATAGAAACCTTTTATAAAAGAAGACGTCATTAAACTCCTTCTGCTAGGTCCTTCAGGCTAAGGGCTAGGGCATCTTATTCTTTAACAGAAATAACTCCTGACACCAGAGCTTAGCAGAAGCACATCTGTGATGAGCAGACTGACTTACACAATTATTTTTCATGGTTTTTTCTTGTTTCTTATCTTAGCATATTGAAACCATAAAAAATGAGTGAAATATCTTTAAAACATTCAAGTAGCAATGCTTTGGTTATGAGTCATGTTCATTGCTCCATCATTTTAGATTGCTTTTTAAGTCTGTATCTGCCATTTTAAGAAGTGATATTCAACAGTTATTACTTTATTTACTGTCCCCTCTCCTCTGAAAAACACCATTAAATTGTGATTTGTGGGTTCTTTTTTAATATGCCAGGTGGTCTTTACATTTAAAATATAGATAAATAGTTATATAGTGTATTCCCTTGTGCTAGACAGGATCAACATCTACCAAAACCAATTCTTGCTCACGCTTTTCTAGCCAAATGTTCTGTGGTATACTACAGTATATACTAAATTGCCTTTTCAGTTTCAATAGGTACTGAAAAGAGTTGAGGTCTGATTTGTACTGGTCCTCTGGCTGGACCAATTTGAGACCTGTTGCCTTCAAAAAATAGAACCTTAAATTTTTGATGGTAGGTTTCATACATCTTTGTCCATGTTTGCTTACACCTATTAGATTTTTTTTTTCTTTTTCTAGCGTATAACTTAATTCTCTGTTTCTGAATTTTCCAGTTCAATACTTTAACCAGCCCAAGTAAATATGCAGACATTTCCTTAGAGTAACAGTTTCTTACATAGTTGGTGATATGTTTGTGTCTTCACTTAGTCTCTGGACTGAGTATAACCAACTACCCTGATAAATTTTAATCTTCTAGTTCTCTGATACTGGAATTTTGTCTTGCAACTCTCATTTCCTTTTGCAATCGAATTGATCTAATTTTCTCTTGTCATGTAGTACCCAAACAGATGCCAGATGCCTTCAGTGCGTCTTAGATATTTTACATCTTGTTTTGCATGCTCTTGAGTTTGTTTAAGTTTGATACTGTCTGCAGTTTGCAGTCTGTTCTACTTTTTGGTTTCTGAAGCACTGCAATGTACCCAGTTAGGTCTGGTCTTTTCGATCTGATATTTCTGCAGTTGATTACTCCCACTAGCACTGTGACTTTGCACTTCTCTTTAATGAAATCTTCCTTACTTACTTCCAAGTGATTTTCCAGTTTGTCCAAATAATTTTGAATCCTAATTCTTTCTTCTATAATGTTAAACTTTTTTCAGGTTTTGTCCATGTTGCAAATTTAACAGAGGTTTTCTTTCTCGTATCATCTGAGTTACTTAAGTATTGGGCAGTGTTAGATACAGGACTGACCCTCTTGGTTGAGTTACATTCTCCCAGTTTGGCAGGGAACGCCTGAGGTTCTTCCAGAAATTCTTTGACCTTTATGAAGTTTCAAACATGGTAGGAAGCAGTTTGAGATTGCTTCAGCATACGTAGGTGAATTTCTCTATATCTGGCTTCACTTTGGGCAGCAGTGCTTGGAGACTGAATTTCTAAAAGTTTTTTTCTGAAATAACTGTCAGTTTTCATTAAATCTTTTTGCTTGGAGCATAGCTTGGGAAAAAATATCTCCATGTGTCCCAGACTTTCTGGAGTTATTATCAGCAGGACACACTATCTTTTATCACACCAGCTGCCATTTGTAAGATGAGGAGTGGGAAGGCACAGGAGCCCTTCTTAGAAGATTTTTGGTGATAGAAGAATTTTGATGATACACAACACAGCTGTCTTCATAATTCAGAGAGGATTTTGCTCCAGGAAAGTGGTCTTGGAGGGTAGGAGTATTTAGTTTTGTGGTTTATTTATTTTTGGAAAAGCCTGTCTTCCCTTGCTTTTTAATTTCTTCTTCTTCTCCAATTCCCCTCAAAACCAATGCAAGAAATTCTGCCATTATGTAATTGGATGGGAAGAATCCTCTCCAGTAAACTAAGTTACATCTGTTCTGTCATTCCCTAAAATAGACACAGAATTCAGTACACCGATACTCATTCCTAGAAATAGGACTGCTTTTTATAGGAGTCTCTTTTCCACAGTTCATGTGGTGGCAGTAGGGAATTTTTTATTTCTCTTTGTATCTGCAGGACTTCTGTCGCTATAGTGTCATCCAACTTGAATGTTTGCATTTACTTTTATTAGCTCAGTATTACCAAGTACAATGCTCCAGTCTGGATAAATGCTGTTTAAAGAAGGAGTAGCAGCCCCCAGGGTGATATCTTGTGCAAGGAGTGGGATGCAGGAGGCAAAAGCTCAGTGCATAAGATCTACCATGATGATCTTGGAGCAGAAAGTGATGTTCTGATTGATGTTACTCATTACCTAACTGTCGAGTGTCTTTCAAAAACATCTGAATAGATTTGATCATTATCAAAGAAAATGGATGCTTATAACTCTTAAGACTGACTCTTAAATGGTGGACAGAATTAAGGAAAAAAACCCAGCGAAGTTTCAACAAAGCAGTGCCATCTCAATAACTGCATGTTGGACCTGGAGTACAAAATAGTTAGATATAGTAAATTTGATTTGCATTTTGTGTTTATATTTTGATTATGTATTTATCAAGTTATCTGGTTTGTCAGGAAAATTTATAAGGAATTATTATGGATAACTGTGATTCTGTCTTTAATCTGCTTTCTCATGTTCGTACTACTGTTCATAGTACAATGAATCTTTAGTTTTTGCATGGTGCAGATTTGGAGAAGTTTATCTTGCCTTCTGCTCCCAAGTTTCAGCTTTTCTACTGCAGTCTGAGTGAAATTTTGTATCCTAGCTCTTGTTGGTAAGTGTATTAAAGAATAGAATTATAGGTCTTTTGTCACATTGTCTGCAGAGCAGTTCAGATTTCTAAGGGCACATTCAAGCTCAAAACAAGGCCTTAGCTCTATCTCTTTTTTTTTTTTTTTTTTTTTTTATTTTTCCATTTTTTGAACCTGATACTTGCTGTGATTCTCTTGCTGGGTCTCCCTTTGAGCCCCAAAAAGACATGCTCGGAGTTTGTTACAGTTTGTTTCAGCCCCAGGGAGGAGCTGAATGCATTCTTTCATGGTCTTCACCTTCCAACATGGAAACAAAAAGCCGATTTGGTCCTTCATCACTTCTTTGTGATCCCTTCGTCTGCTTACTGGCTCAAAAGGTTGTGCTTCCTTCTCTCTGCCAGTTGCCTGGGATCAAGCAAGAGATGAGAGATGAGGAGGGCATTCAGACTTGAATCAAATATTACCTCAAGACCAGAAGAATGACTATCTTTGCATCCGGTATGTGGACTTCAAGGAGGTTTCCTCTCCTATAAGCAGATGAGTATAATGTACGCTTTTTAATTGAAGCAACATCAACTTTGGCTTTTACCATGGCAGTATCTCAAGATTCTTTGAAGAGATCTTTAGACATTAGGGAAGGATATTTTTTCTTTCTATTTTGTTTTCTTTTTTTACTCCTGCCCTCCCCCCAGCCATATCAAGTTATCAAGATATCCTCCCCTTTCAATGAAGAATTAGATTCTTAGGGAATTTGTAGGAGCGAGTGCATGGAAGAAGTTGAGTGAGGTCTATAAATGAATTTTACATTTCTTTTGAATGAGGTCTGTGAATGCTGTATTTGTGTTTCACTGACCTTGGTTTGTATGTATGGTTCTTGCTGTATTTTTGTTCACATTTTCCATGTTGAAAATGCCAGCAGTTTAAGAGAAACTTGGTATAGAAGAGGTGCTTTGATTAGTAAAAGTGTGGTATAACTGCCAGTTCTACTCATGCCTCCTTGATTCTTTTACTCATGTTTGGACCTTGTTTGGGAAATGTATATCCAGTCAACTTTAAGTCATCTGTTGTAGTTTATCTGAATAGTATGTGGAGAGATTTGTAGAGGCAAAAGGATTTTTGAACTGGCTACGATCAGGTTCATTAGGTTGCACTCAAACTGGTGTTCAGACAGCCATCTCCTAAGTCTAACTTACATTCCAAAGCAGTTCCTCTGTTTTTCTGCTTAAGGTGATTAACAGGATCAATGTGAAAGGTTCTGCATGGAATCAGGCTGCTTCAGCGTGGCAGATGCTGAGACAGAGCCAATGAGCACAGCCAGACCTTGCTGGATTCCTGCAGAGCTCCTCTGAAATCCATGTGCTGTACTTTAGCATTCCTTCTGTCCGCCACAGGCACTTAAGCCTGATGCTATACATTATCTGTCCACTAACACAGGGGAAGGTCTTTGCAGGGATGAGTGGATCCAGCTCAGCTAGATCCTGAGTTTACCCATGATTTGCATCACCCTACTTACTTGTTTTTTTCCCTTCTGCCTATCTTCTGTGGAGGAGCTTCCTGTTGCAACTACAGGCTATTTTGCTGTAAGCTTTAGGCAATTCAATTAAGTGTTTTTAGGTTTAATCCTCATGGTATATTCATGTTATTTTGCTGATTAAAAAAGAAGAAACTAATTCTTGTGTCTATGTTCTTAGCAATTTGTAGGCAAAGAAGACTCTTAAAAATCATTCAGAAATTAAGAAACAAGGAATTTATTAACTCACTGAATCTTCCAAGTATTCACTTGATGCTTATTGGTCAGTCAGCTATAATAGTCCTGTTGTTGAGACAGATTGACACCAGTTTCCATTGTTCTTACCTGTGCATGAGTTTCAACACAGTATTGAAAAGTATTGTATTAGTAATCCAGGTGAATTAGTGGTAATATTCTATCCATTTCAAACATGGGTGCAGAACAGGTCTTGTTGGTAGGGCAGACTGCAAGCTAGAAAGCTCTGTTTGGCAGAGGATGGCTCATGGATGCTGCAGTCCTGGAGGGCAGTTTTGGAACAGCTGGTTTAAATTAACTGTTTCATATTCTTCAAAAATCCTGCTCTCTAGCCAATTCCTTGCTATCTGTTGATTCCTCTTTTTGTTGTCACGCTTCCTTGATTTCTAGGATGCAGTGACTTCATTGCCCTGGTCCAAAATAATAGCATGGGGAACTTAATTTGATTCTTATCTTTTTCATGCCACAATCTAATAATGATTTTTTTCTTTCTGAACAAGATCCGTATTTGATGAGATCTTTAAAGTAGATACAGGTGGTATTTCTCCTTCTGCATTAATTGTGCTCTTTGATATCACTTCAAGCTTTCTGTTGAATCAGGATAGAAGAGCCTGAGGTTTTTTTAAAAGCAAGTTTAGAATGATGTTTTAATGTTTGAGGATAGTTCATACTGCATGCAAAATGCTATTTCTGATTGAGAAAAACTGGTTAAGTGTCTGCATGACATACAACTCTCACTAAATAATGACTGAAAATATTTTTGGGTTGAAAGGAAAACTCAAACTGTATAATGTACAGTATATGATGTATTTTTATGATGTTCTTTAACCATTTAGCAATTTTATGCTTTGGATATGAGAATGAAGTCCCTTCTAAATTGATCTTTCTCTAGGTGTTTTCAGAGATCCATCCATCTGTCTTTTTCTGTTTATAAAACTTACATTATTGGTCTGTAATGTGGGTAGCAAATTTTTTGTATAAAAAACCCAGCATATTCTATCGTTGTAGTTTGATTCTTATTGTAATGCTGCTTTTGTATCTATACAGCACTGAAGAGGTATTCCTAGGACTGTCTGAGGAATTTTTGTCTTGCAAAAGCATCTTCCTGTGGGGATGCGGAACTCTAATGGCATAAGGGCTTTTCTCTCTTTTTAATATCTATCAGTGCAGCACTAATTATAGCACATCCACAGCATTATTGTTTATTGATACTACTGTCAGCATGCTAATGTAGAATTCGAACTCTGTAACTAGGTCTTCCCTTTAAAGCAGAAAAATGCTCTTTTTTGTCCTCCAGTGCTAAATTTTTCAACCTAGGTAGGGAATTATCTTCAAACAGAAGTGTAAGCATATCCTCTGAGATTGTGGCAAACCCGAAGGCCTAGTTTTCTCATGTACTTTAAGACTGCATAAACTGGCACCACTACCAGAAGTGATAGTCCCATCTAGTCCTTGTGTTCAAATAACACTTGTGTTAGTTGATGGCTTTGTGGGATTACAGTGAACCAGATGAAAAAGATTGGAATTTTTTTTTTTTTTCCCCTTTTAGCAAATATTACCAAGATAAGAACTTTCCTCCTTGTGACTATTGGGAAGAACAGCTCCAGTGTGGACCTGTTTCATCCACTACAGAGCAACATCCTGAGTGGGATAGACTTGCCATATTTTCATATGTTATACCAAATAATTTCTGTGTCTTTGTGCAGAATTCATTGGCAGATACGTGTACACAGTGTCCCTCTTAACAACTTATGTGAAGTGTCAACTTAAGACAGTATTTCACATGCATTGTGTTAAATACAATTTTGCAATAATTGAGTTCACCTTAACGTAATACTGACTTCAACAAAAACCAAGAAAGTGTTTTTTCTTCTTTCCCTTTTACCTCTTCTTTTGAGGCACCTTTAATCATCTTTGTTTCCCTAACTGTACTTTCTTCCATTTTCCAAGGAATATTTTCATCAGAAGTATAAACTTTTCAACTATGAAGGTGTTATTTCTTCAAAGTCTGTTTTGTTTGTTATGACGTGATAGGTTTGCAAGGTCTGCTTGGAGAGGTTGAGGCATCATAAAGAAGCCTGAGTGAGTGGGATCAAAAGCCAGTGATGTCACAGGGAAGTTTAGAAACTGTTAAGATTTTAAGTTTCTCCTTTTTCATTCTTTTTGCTTTTCATTTGGGGTAACAGATAAGAATAATTAATCTGCATATCTAAGCAGGAAGTAATGCTATTCATTACTCTCTTCTGCTTGCTTTTTGTGAAAAATGAGCATCGTGGCATAGACAGGAAGAACTGAAGGAAGTTTGTTAAAGCATAATTCAAGTTCTGTACTGAAGAGCACTGATCATAATAGGACAAACACTGGCAGCACTGTCCCTGCATAGATAGGTAGAGGCATATTGCATTTCTCTACATTTTAACTGCTGCATTTCATCCAGGCCCCAGCCCTGTCTGAAACAGGGACTCTAGAGCCATGGCTGTGTTAAAATCTGGAACATCTCTTCCAGATGAAGCTCGATTTCAGGTGACAGTGTGTCCTTTGGTTTGTAGTATGATATGTACAACTTCAAAAAACATTCTTCCTTCTTGTAGGTGCAGGTCAAGCTTCTGGTTTATGTGCTATTACAATACTTTCTCTTAAGCTTCATGTTCTGTTTACACTTCCTTTATACTGAAAGCACAAGCTGAAATATTTCTGTGGTTCGAGAAAGGCTGTGCCTTATTTTATGGTTGCCAGTAATAATCATGTGCTGTTACCTGTGGGAGCAAGCACCAAAACCATTAGGTATTGTGAGCTGCTGAGGATGAAAACAAGCCTTCAAGGAAACATCCTTTCTACCCTTAAGCTGCATCCAATGTTGCTTCTGCCTTTCTGCTGGAATATGTGGCAGTGCTGCATCTTCCTTGAACCCTGCTCTCAGATCTCTGGTCATGATGCAGAATAAGGGCTGATTTCTTGGACTTGTATTTTCAGTATTGAGTGTAGGTTTCTGTCTATTGCATGATGCCAGAAGAGAATTATTGCTGTAAGGGGTTCTGTAGAATCATAATACCACAAGCAAATGACTTTTTTCATCCATTTATGTCCTTAAGTTCCCTTCAAAGTCAAGTGTGTACAAAATGTAATTAAATTGAGGGCTTGACATCTGTGGATTTAAATATTTGTTTCTATCAATATTTGCTATGTGCACGTGTAAATATATTTTTCTTTTTTGATTTGCAGAGATTTATCATTAAGTATTCTGTTCTGTTTCTGTAGATTGAATGTAGCTTTAATCTGGCACTGGTGACAAAAATATTAGCTTTATTGACTTTGTTCAATACAAAACTTAGACTATTACTGCTTGTCTTCTGCCTTTTGGGTCAGGGAGAGTAGAAAACAATTCCTGATAGGTTTGTTTTTTTTTTTTTTAGTAATTTTAAGAGAGTGATACTTATTTGTATCATAATATACTAGATGTAGCATTAATTGTTTAACCCAGAAGGGGTTTATTGCTTGTAATGTGCTGCAGTATTTACAAGTTACAAGTTGCTTTATCTCTTGCAGATCTAGAAATGGCGATTGCATACTGGAATTTAGTCTTGTCAGGAAGGTTTAAATTTTTAGATCTTTGGAATAAATTTTTGTTGGTAAGTGTTCAATGTACTTTATTCCTTACTGCCTGTCTTATTCCACAGTAGTCTGCCTTCTTTTGTCTTTGTGCTTTCAATAAGAAAAAGATGGAATATCTCTATACTTCAAACTTTTTACTTTTTGAAAACTGATAAAAAATAGTCTCAAATCAAGCCAAATTAAATCTTCTTTTTATGATTTTGTAACTTAGAAGAATACAAAAAGATGCAGCAAAGTGATAGTGTTCTGCTTGCTTAATCCTGTTTCCTCCTGCTTAGCAAAGTATCTACATGATCGTAGATGGAACTGGTGCTGCTGATTGTCAAGACAGCTGTGATTATTGTCAACCACATATTTTATCATGCTCTGCCTTTTGTAGTACTAATGCATAAATTTGGTCTTTTTAAATCAGTCATACCAGAATTTAGCATTGAGACTTTCCATTTTCAACCAAATTTATTGGCTGAGTAATTGCATTGATTAATTTTTAAGCTAATAGTTGTGAACTTATTCAGTTTTGTTATTACTAGTGCAATTCTGTGGGCAGTGGAGTAAAGATGTATAGATTAAAACTTAGAAATTCAAAAATATTCTTGTAAAAGACCCGATTCCCTCATCCATGTTTCTACATTTGCATGTCTATATTATTACGAAAATGAAGTTAGATAATATATAATTTATCTTCATTTTCTTCTTCATTTTGTCTTTTTATCTGTAGTTTAGGAGATATAAAGTCTTTCTGCATTTTTGACCCCCAGTGCTTAATAGGGAAGGTGTGCACTTTTTGAAATACTTTTCTGTAGTTATTTTTCTAAGTTTTTTGGCAGTATATTTATTTGATTCACTGAATAACGTACTAGTTTCATCAAGAGGGCTTCTGAAAACATTTCATGTTTTAATTGCCTTAATACACTTTTAAGACATCCAAATTCAGATCTATGGATGTAACTGAAGAAAAATCTGCAAGTTACCACCTGGTATTAAAGTGTGTTACTTTAGAAGAAATATCTAACTTGAATGTTTAGTTGAGAAGAAATACTTAAAATATTTCAACTTAAGAAAAAAGCAAGCTGAAACTCTTTCTGATGGGTTTTTTTGGTTCTTGGTTTTTTAAGATAAAGAAGGTGAAGAAATGTTTGTAATAGGTGTATTTCTGTATATGTCAATATAAAATACCACTGTGGAATTTGAAAGTAGTTTGAACTGAACAGTACTGTTATTCCTCTGTACAGGAACATCATAAAAGATCAATTCCAAAAGATACTTGGAATCTTTTGTTAGATTTTGGAAATATGATTGCAGATGATATGTCCAACTATGATGAAGAAGGTAAGCAGTACCTGAATATCTTCAAAAATTGGTACAGCAGAACTAAACTACTGCTATAAATGAATGCAAGAACATGTTGTTACCTCGTGTCCTAATTTGCTTACCCTTAAAGTTTCAGCTGCCAATAATGTCATACTTACTGCCAAAACAGTAGTGATAAGAAGGGTAACTGGTTTGCTGTAATTTGAAAACAGAAGCAAAGATACAGTCACACTATGATAGAGCACATTATTCGAATGTGTTGTGCTACAGACCTCTGAGTGAAACAACGTTTTGTACAAAATTTTTGCTACCCTAAATGCAGTTCACTTTCTGTTACTAATTTTGTCTTGGAATGTGTGCAGAAATAAGTCCTAAGATATGAATGGCTATAATAAGAATGCCGTGGTTTTGCTATCAACTAGTGTTTGTATTTGTAGTGTGGAGTTCTATGTTTTAAATCTATTTTGTTTGTCTTAAGAGCTGTTGCTGCAAGAAGAGATTCAAATGTGGAATTTATTAGTTAGGTGGTTTTTTTTCAAGTATTTTATCATGTTGTGCCTGTTAAAGCTAGACTAGGCCAGAAATGTCAAGATGAACTTCTAACCCTTTGTATTTATAGACTACAGCTGATAGTGGTAGGCTAATTTCTCAATTGCTTGATTTCTCTGTAGGAGCATGGCCTGTTCTAATAGATGACTTTGTGGAATATGCACGACCAGTAGTCACAGGAGGAAAACATAAAACTTCCTAACCCCAGAGCTGTTGATATGGACTAAATGAACTGCACTGGGTAATGAAGATTTGTTAGCTGATAACTGCACGTTGGTGCTGGTTTCAGTGGTCATGATGACATTCTGCAGACAAAACTGAAATTCCTCCTTTCTGCCTAAAGAAAATGATGACTGATGTGTGGACACTTCAAACTCAGAAGATCCAAGCTGTTTGTAGGCTATTGGCTTCAATTATTGTACTGGTTGTATCATATAGGATGTAGATTTTGCATGATTTTATACTTTGGAGAAGTTTAACTAGAGGCCATTTTATTAAAGTTTTGACAGCACAGCATGCCATTCAGTTCATAATCCAAAGTGAACACCAGCAGTTACATAAATAAAAATGTATTATATTGTACTTATATTAAAAGCAGTATTTGTGTTATATAAATTAAATCCATAAATAAAACTTGTGCAGTATATGTTGTATTTTTATAAAACTTAGTTCTGTGGATCTGTCTTAATACAGAATTGTAAAAAAACCCAAACAAATGAACATAGGCCTTTTTTTTTGTTTGTTTTTAACTTATTGCCAAAATTTTAAATTTGCATTTTCACATCCTAGATGTCTACAGTGATTACATCCAACCTTTTGCTTTCTCCCAATGAGTTTTTCTTCCTCATTTTTCTTCTTGAAGTGCTTGGACATGTAACAATAGCATTGCTGAGGACAGGCTGCTGCTCTATGCTGTGTTGCAAATCCAGCTTTTTTAGTAACCATTTTAAAGTTGATATTAAACAACCAAAGATGCTTTTATAATTCATGTTAAATTATGATAATTTAGTTAGTGTCCAATTACGTGTTTTATTTATTTTTAATCAGTAACTGGTGGACTATGGATTTTATTTGTAGCTTGAAACATATCATAAATTCTAGCTAAATGCAACATGGTTGTAAATTCATTTCCTGGCACTTCTCATGGAAAAGAGATGTGAATAAGCCCAAAGACTTAACTAGTTTGCTTCCATGGTGGAGAAATAGTTAGGGATAAGGAGACTTTATATTAATAAGTCTTCATGCCTGTGGATGTATTGTGCATTCAGTTGTATTTATTTAAGGGGAGGAAAAAGCAAATTAATACAGCTTCAGCGATCTCAAAGCTGGTGAAATTGGACCAGTTTTCATCAGATCTGAATTTGTTCACTCACTTCTTTCTCCCCTTTTGCTAGCTAGTGATTATGAAAAGCATAGAGGTGTCAGTCTTTTGTTTCTCATCAGTGTCTTCCGATGTCTAAGCACAAAAAACTTTTACCAGAAACTATTCAGCACGTCTTCACACAGGGCTCTTGCAAATGCTACCTCATCAAAGTGAGTTTGTCATAGCCACTGTAAAAGTTTGTTAAAATGAAGAATTGCTAAAGAATATGTACAGCTATGATCAATATATTTTCTGTATTTAAAGCTGAATAGATGCAAGAATTTTGGAGAAAATAGTGCATTAAGTTATATAGTTTATATCTGTTTGGGTCATTGAAGTGTTGCATGACAGCAGACTATTTTATTTGGTAATTGCCAGGGTATAAAAGCTTACAATATTCTTTTAAGCTCTAATATTTAGAGTTTCATACAAGCAGTCAGCTTTCATTATGTCAACACAACCTGCAAGGACAAGTGTCCGTGCTGCATACAGAGACTGCCTTCATTCTTCCACTTGATAGAATTTCAGTTGTGCATGATGTTGAAAAAGCAGGACGAGGGAAAATTTGAACAAATTAGTGATTTTTCCTCCTAGTAAGAGCCTAGCGAGCAAGTGACAAATGCCCTGTGAGTGATTTGTTATGAATATCTGTCTTTTTGTTGTGAGTGCCAGCCCTGGCCAAGCAGCCGCCAGGTGTCAGCGTCTGAGCCCGGTGCTCGTGTGCAGAGTTACCCACTGAGGTTATGCCGAATTATTGCTTTCTGACCTCGTCTTTTTAGAAGGGCATTTGTAACTCCAAGTATACTACAGAAGTCAGCAGAGAGCTAGAAGGAGCTATGCTCTTTTTACTGCATTTGATTTATCTATGCCTCCTCCCCAAAACAAGCCATTTCTATATCTGTCCTGCAGGCTTTGCAGAATGTGTAACATCTTACAGCATCAAGTGCATTTACCTATTCAGAAGCAGTGGAATGCTTGTTACTCACACAATTGCCACTTAAAATGTATAGATAAAACATAACTGACCAGAAGTAGCTTAATCTATTGATATGTGATGTAACTGAACTTTCATAGCACTAGAGCTTGTGAAACATTTGCTCATGATGAGAGCTCCATCAAATCATTCTGATGAACCTTCTACCTTTTAAAATAAATAGAGCATAAAAAATGCATGAGGGTTGAAGTTATTTTTCCCTGTTAATCGGAGCAAGAAGGAAGGTTCCTAGCCCAGGATTCAGTGTGTGTGCATATATATATATACATATAAATACACACACACGTTTACTCTTAAACCTCATTCCTGGGGGGGATCCTTCGTGGGTGACAGCTTCCAGCAGAGCAGGACTGGGCAAAAATAGTACAAAGATGGTAGTTGATCCTTGTCAGCCAGCTTTTATGTTTGCTCGGCTTTTCCTTTTTCTTCTGTTCTTCCTGATCTTCTACCTGTTTTAAACCACATGTGATTTTTACATTTCCATACATAATAGCATGAAGTAACACCTTAACACTTGAAGTCATTAAAAATGCAAATAAGCTGCTTTCAACTTACAAGTTTCTTATATATTTTAATAATTTGCTGCTGTCCATAGTTCCATTTTACAGGGTACTCTGACTTCCATTATAAGTAAGCTGATACAGTGGTAACACCTAGGCTGCTCAATTTATAATCCTAAATGGTACAGATGTCTTCAAGTTGTTCAGTGCGTACAGTATTACTTCACAGATACGCTGTATGTATTTTTAAACTTGGTGCCAAGTTGTTTGGTTTGAAACTGAGCCATAGTATTTGTACTTGCCAATTCTAAATTTAAATGTGATTTATCATGTGTGTCATGCCAAGGAGAGCAAACCTGCAGGCATCTGCTCATTCAATGCACCTGGAAGATTTGCTGCTGAGTAAGCTGTACGTGTGTGTATATTTTTTGGCAATGGAAAAAGGAATAAATGGACTGTCAAAGGATTGAAGTCAGTCATGTGAGATGTCTATATGGTTCTCGTCAGTTTTCTGCTTTGGAAGTCTTGGTCTAGTGGGAGGTTTTTGTTGTTTTCTGGTTCATTTATTAGGTGGTTGTGTTAGTACTCTATCAGCCAGAAGAGGGCAAGGATGTAACTCATTAATTTTTAAATTGCATTAATAAATGTTTGGTTTCATCATCTGTGTCACTGTTAAGCTTTTAAGAGGCTTGACATGCTTAGCTGCAGAACTGTATTCACTGCATGTATCTGCCGGTCACCAGGCTCTCTGCAATCTGTGTCATTAGTTTGTACTGGCAATGGGAGCTCTAATTGCAGGGAAGTGTTGTGCAGTCCTGCCTCTGAGCTCTGTAGGAGAAGCAGCATGCTTAAAAATCTGTGCAAAGGCCTTCAGAGGTGTGCATTCACCTATCATTAATTCTCTTCTGAAAGTTTAAGTCAAATAAGTTCTGCTCTTATCTTCACCTAGCTGCCATCCTTCTCCAGTGCTTTCACCAACCATGGGCTGCTTTGGTGTTGCACAAGTCTTGTGTTTCTTTTCCTGTGACAGAGAAACTGCAGATGTTGATACTTGAACCATGGCAAGCCTTTTTCCTTTCAAGTGTCAGCACCAGTAACTTCCCTCAGCTGATGCCAACCAGCATCTCGCTCACCAAAACCCACAGCCCTTCTGAAAAAGTGTAATGCTTTTGCAACCATAAACCTGTTCAGCAAAACATGTTTTCTGGTCTTTTCATTATCTACAGTGTGCTGGGTAGAACTAGATGACACACCTCTAGAATTAACTTTTGTTTTGAACTTTTTACAGAGGGCTCTGCAACTGCAGCTTCCTCTACAACCACATGCAGAAAATACTGTATTTCAGACAGATGGGTGCAATGTTCACTTCTTAATAGGAAGGGCTGGGGAAATTTAGGGGCATTCACATTTTGATTGAGTATTGGGATACTTCCTCTTGTTGAATATACTTGACCAGTTCCCATGGGGGGGGGTTTGAGTCTCTTTTTCCAAGCAGTGAACTGCAAGCCCTATAGGTTTCGTGTCATGACCTCAGCTTTCTGCCAAGACAGTAAGGAACTCCATCCTGTGCTGTTAAAGGATTCTTTTTCCTTCAAGGCAGTGGTACAAATCTGCGAGGAAACAATTCATCTCCATTGTTAAAGAATTGAGTAAAACCAGTTTCTTTTTTTCCTGGATCTCTATGAGTGTGAGGAATGATCCTGATGCTCGAGTAAAATCCTTCACTCCAAGAGTTATAAAAATGCAGCTCTGACAGAAGTCTGGCACTCATCTGGTATCAACCTTACTTTTCCAGGATATGGCTCTGTGTCCTTCGGATGGGTGGACTTGGAATCAAGAGCATTTCTCTGCCAAGTGTCTCTGAATGGCAAAGGATCACTCACCCACTCATGGGGAAAGCATTTGGGGTGTAGAACTCTTTTAACTTACAAAGGGCTTGTGTGGACACAGTGTCAGTCCAGCTCCATTTGCCATTCATTGATTCAGAGCAGAGCTCAGCACCTGCAGCGTGCAGGGGCTCTGTCCTGGGCTGGAGCCATCCATGCACATCCCTCTGCTGGAGGAGGCACAGCAGCCACGTTGGCCAAAGGCTGCTTTCATGTTCTCACCTCGGGTTTCAAATGTAGTTGAGCTGAAACAACAGTGTGTTGTCACCAACACAGACATGTCCTGCCTTCCCATTCCTTTTTTATGGATTCTCCCCATCTGAAAGCTGTCATATGTACACTAATGGAAAGACACCAAAGATACATTTTAATATGATTTGCCAAATAGTTTTGCAAGTTCCACTCAGTTTTTTTCCCTATTGTGACTAGTTACCCATCTTCATGGAATTACTGTCTTTTATCTCTGTTTAAGACATGTAGGTATGATATTTTACGAACAATTGTCTCCTTTGTGAGGAGTAGGGGTAGTTTAGTGTATCTTGTCTACCTCTGCCCAGAAAGCTCTCAGTAGCTGGAAGAATCACATGAAAAGGAGATAATGTGTAATTTAAAAATTAAATAAAAATGTCTTCACTGCATGTTCTGTTTTGCAGTGAAGTTGAAAAGAGAGTTGAAAAATAGAACTTCTCTGAAATTTTCTCTGGGTTTTTATTATAGCCTTATTCCTAATTTGGGCTTTGTTCCAAGCAGCCGAGTGTGTTGCAACAGAGTGAAGTCAATGGGAGGCAAAAGGGCAGTGCAACTGCCAGCCACATTCAGAAGAAAAAGATAAATGAAAAACTAAGAATAGCTTTGCCCATTTTCAGGGAGGAACCTTCCATCTGATGAGTCCCTTACTAGCTCTCCACAGTGCCTCCGCAGGTGATTCCTCCTGTCCTTGTTTTGCAAGTTCAAATTCCCACGTGCCTCCAAACCGTGATGCTATGCAGGAATAGAGAACAGGTGTGTGCCACAGAGGGGTGGATGGACCTGTAACAGAGACATCAACGTCAGTGCTTCTGCCTGCTGTGTTCTGTAAGCTGCCCTGGCCTTGGTTTTCCATTTTTAGTGTTTGTTTTCAGACACGTGGAACGTGAGGTACCGTGCAGGGCAGGGGTGACTCTAAGATTACCTCTGTGTTGCGTAAATGCCCCGATTGTGGCGGATGATGCTTGCTCCCCCTGCCCCACACCAGGGAGTGGGGCTGGCATCCACCAGCAAATGGCAAGTGGTGATACTTGTCCCTGCATATCCTCTTCTGGTCCCTAAGGCACAATTTTGTCCTCCTTTTCTCCTTTTTTTTTCTTTTATTTTTCTTTACTTTTCCAGTATGTCTTACTTTCTAGCAATGAAAACACACTCTCAGTGTCCTTCTCAGCATTTCTGTTAACCAGTCCCAATCTTTAAAACAAGAGTGCACTAACAGAAGCTACTTTCACCATTTGGGCACTTTATTTCTTCTAATGTAGATCAGGCATGGCAGAGTTGCTGTGTGTCCTGAAAATCCATTAAGTACAGAGATATTTCTACATAGATCAATAACTCAGACTGTGATTAATTTATTGCTTATTAACTTGTTGCTTTGGATGCTAGGATGATGCATCCCTTACAACGCTGGCCTTTTCCATCTGAATAGCAATCAGTATTGCCCTCTGAAAAAGATCAAAGAAAACAAAGACCTTTCCCCTGGTATGAGTTATCAAAATTACAGTCAAGTCAATCAATGCTTTCTGTTTACCTCTCTACGTTTATATTTACATTTCTATTTCTGTCCATAAAGTAATTTGTGAGTCTTTTGGATTTTATTAGACTCACAGGATGCCGTTTCAATGCATCTTTCAAAATAGTTTCCTTCCAGAGTCCAAGTGAGGACTGGCCTCAGCTTTAGGAAAAAGTCACTCTTTGCCAGGGAGTAAGAGGCGTGGAATTGAAGTTGGTATTTTTCTCAGTGTTTATCCAGGGGTGCAGTAAATTAGCAGAACCTTCTTGTACTGGGTGGAACAGAAGAAGAAAGCTGTTAACAAAGTATCTCCATAGGGTGTAATTAGGAATGCGAGAGGTCATCTGCATTTCACTAGATTTCTTACTGTTTAATCCCTTCTTCTAGTGTGTACAGAGCCTGGAAAATTGCTTCTATAAGAGCCTTTACTTCTGACTGGTCCCTGAGAGGGAGGCTGACTTCAGCATATCATAAATGGCCAGAAGAAAAAATATTAATTTACAAGTTGTTAAATAAATAAGCACCCCTGTGGAGGCATCTGTTTTTCTGGGTGTAGAGTTACTTTGGCTGGGTAGGGCTAAGGATCTCCTGGCTTGCTTTAAGCTGGGTTGCAGAAAGGAGGCTTTTGCAGGTCTGCTCTTACAGTTTCATTGAACAAAGCCCCTGCAAAATCCCTGGGTTATGAAATATTTCCTCTCTGTCGGGACCCAGACAAGAGATGGCATCTGCAGAGCCAGAAAAGGAAGTCCTTGCCTTATAGAGAGAGCTCTTGGTGTGACACAATGGCTGATATAAAGTGTCGGGAGAGCTGAGTCGAAGGCAAAGGAACAAAGGAAGATCAAGATTCGGTGGCTGTCTCAGGCAAAAGGAAAGTGGAAAGTGTCTTGGGGATGGATAAATTTAAGGCTGCGCTTGTTCTGGCTGGGGTAGGGGATGCTCTCGGTTATCGCAATTTCTCCCGTGAAAACAATGCCTTAGGTGCAAAAATCCAGCAGGAGCTGAAGGAAATTGGAGGGCTTGAGAACCTGGTGCTCTCCCCCGACAAGTGGCCAGTAAGTGACAACACGCTCATGCACATGGCTACAGCTGAGGCTGTCATCACAGGTAAGTACAGCGGGAATAGCAAACACAGGCTGCAGAGGGACAGACCTGTGGAGCTGCTGCATTGCTTAGAATAAGCCTGATTGCTGGGGAAATCATGAGAAAGCGTGTCAGAAATGCTGCTTATGTGAATGATAATGTGCATTACTTTGGCTGCTCCATGAGCAAAATCCTGTGACCATCTTACAAACTGCGGGGGTCTTGATTTCTGGAGTGTTGAAGGGCTCTTCCTATATTTTCCTTAGCGATGTACAGTTGGTTAAAGCTTAAAGACTAAAATACCACATGTCCAGCATAACAAAAATAATTACCAAGTAGATTATCTGTATGCTGGAGTACAGCAGGGGAAAATAGCCACTAGAGAGTCTTCTGTAATAGATAAGAACTCATTTGAGTGCATTTTTTACATATTTGTGTCCAGAACTCCAGGCTGGAGTAGAGTTACCTTAGTACCTCTTTCAGGCTAAAAGCACTAGTGCTGTCTCCTCATTGCTGCCCCTTAGACAAAGGGTTGCATCTGCCAAAAACTTACTTGTTTTAGAAGGAAGCTCCACGTCTTTAGTCCAAAAAGTATCCTAACATACTGTATTTATAATGAAATCTATCAGAATAGTGGAAATTATTAAGATGTCTTCTAAAATAACAATTGTTTTAGAGAGAACATTTATTTTTTTCTTAAGGTGTGGGTAGTCTTTTTAAGATGAGAAGTGTTTGAATCAACACCTTACCCATTAAACTAGAGCTTTCTGAGACTGGCATGATTATAGAAAGTGCACCAGAAGACAGTGATCTCTCAACAGTATTTTGCCTCTTCAGAATGATTCAATTGTTTTAAAATCTCTGTAAAAATATTCCTGATTTTTCTTAAAACTCATGACACTGCACAATTACCAGTAGCAGAAGCTTCCAGTGTAGCTAAGTATCCTTCCTATCAATGAGATTTCCTTTGTGCTAGTGTTTACTCCTTTATCTGTCTGCTTCCAATCTGCTCTAAATTTAGTAGGTAGAGATCAGTTGAAGAGTGTATAGGACACTTCATACTTGGCTATTAGCTAACCAATGGTTTAAGGGGTAGCTAATACACTAAAGATAAGGGCAAGATGTCAGCCTATCAAGAAAAAAGATGACTAGCATATTTCTGAATATAGGCTATGATTAAATACGTATCATATGTTTCTTGCATATTGAACCCTCTAAAATCATAACTTCTGGGTAATCAAGTCAGACCAATGGTAAAATAATAATTCTTATCTTAAATATAGCACCCTGTAAATTGCTCTGAAGAAAAAAGTTTAAGATACTGTTACCATTGACTGTATTTACCCTACACTCTCATTTCTTTGACCTCATCAGACAAATATTTTAAAAAGGTGCTTTCACGGGCTGGAGAGGAAACAACAAGATGGAGTAGGGAATTTAGTAAAAAAAATCTTCATTTCACAGCAACATTGGTGAGTGGGATAAAGCAAGTCCTTCACCCTGCTTCCCACAAGGGAAACAGGAACCACTCCTGCCCATAGCTGTGTCTCCTCCTGACATAGGGACCCCAAAAAAGCCCCATGGCTTGCTCATGGCCCAGCCTAGGTGCCAAATCAGACACGTCAACAGAGTGAAGATGAAGAAGGTGAATGTCTGTGAGGCTGAAAGCATCTGCCACCAGCCCTGGAGACCTGCTGTGGGAACAGATTTTAAAGAACATACTGGGTGGCTGGAACATTACCAGCCAAAAAAAAAAAAATGAAAAAGGGGAATTAAGCAATTAAAATATCTCTGTCGTTCACTGCCCTGCTCCCTGCACATCCTGTTTGCCTGCCTGCCTGGCTGCTGTTGCTGTTGTCATTGTCAGGGCACTGCCCTCTGGGGAGCTCCCAGCCTGGGGCTGAGGCAGCAGCCAAGCATGAGGTGCAGGCTTGCGTTAAAGACAAAGGCAGTTCTCACATGGGGAGGGGATTATGGCCAGTGCATTGGCAGCTGCACAGAAAACATCCCAGGAGGGGCAAGCAACCGGGGCTGTGGGCACTGCTGCAAACTGAGCTGGTGCTTCCCAAATCTACCATGTGCCCTGACTGAAAGGTTGATGTGACCATGAAAGATAGATAAAACATCTGCTTCCAGGAGGAATCTGTCCTGTAAAGGAGGAACAAGGGAAGCGTCATCAAACCCAGGGAAACTATCTCTGTAACGAAAAAAGCATCATTGTTTTCCTCTCCTGCTTACACATGGGTTAAAAAAAATAGGAGTTCATTTCTAAAGAAAGAACCTGTCCCATTGATGGCTGGGACAGCAATCTGGCTCCAGGCGTGGGAACCATGGTGGGCTTGAACAGCCTGGAGGTGCTGGACCACAAGGACTCTGTGTGCTGGGGACCAGGTTTCTGCAGGAGCTGCCAGGCAGCAAAACCTGCTCCTGGCTCCTGTCTGGATAAACTGTGACACCTGACTCCTAAATCTGGAAAGAGCTGGCAGCTTGAAAGTGTCTTGTTTCTTTAGGATTACATGTGGGATGGCCAGTGTAACTGGTAGAGTATTGTCTTATGTGAAAGAAGAGGAATCTTTGTTCTTCCTTTCATCCTCTTTTTTGCCGGCCTCTATAACTGGTACTTCGGAATGTCTGTTGCTTCTGGGACTCCAAACTTTCTCTTAAGTCAAACTGTGGATTTCCAGAATTCACCATCTCTGACAAAATGAAGATATTTTTAGAAGAACTTCCCCTGCTGTGTCATTCAACCTGTGCAAATAATCAAGTATTAAATGGGGTTTTTCCAAGTATGTAGAAAATATATAAATGGATAAATGTCTTTGTCCTCCATTCGCACTGATTACACAGCTGTAATAGACGCCAGTGGAAGGTTTTCCTTGACACGAGTCAAGGGCAGGACTCTTCAAGACCCAGGACAGACAATGCCAGCCAAGAGAAGCAGCAATATTGAAGAATCAGTCTGTGTTTAACAGGGGGAAGGTTCCTCCTTAGACAAGACTGTAGGACTTGGTAAAAGTAATCTATAAACAGATATTGTTAGTGAACTTATTACAGAGAGAAAATTATGTGCTGGAAACTGCCTTCAGGCAGTAGGGATTTACTACTCTGACTGATTTTTATAGTATTTTTTTAAAAAACTCACTGTTTATGATATTATAAGGTATTTGGACCCCTGCATGAAAGATCTACAAATTTTAGACAAAATACAATTAACATACAGGTTAAAAAAAGAAGTTGCCAACTTGCTTTTGTATCTAGTCATACATCCCTCTTAAAGAGATTCTGTAATGTGGTAATTAATAAAAAAAAAGGCTTTTATTTTTAAATTGGGTTCTTGTCTCTAAAGGCAGGGGCTGAGCCAGGCACATTGGCTTTACCCAGACCCCATGGCAGCCACACTGTCACCTGACAGTTGATCATCTCTGTAATGACTTCACACCACAGAGCTTAAATAAAGGCCCTCAACAGCTACTGTTGATTAACAGGATGCTTCATCATTCCAGTGAAGGAATTAAACATGGAAAGGAAAGGAGGAGAAGATGAGAACTGAGAGTCAAGACCATGCTCCCTCCAGCCCGCTGTCATGTTGTGCAAAAATGTGACAGTGTCACCAGAAATATGACTTGGTATCTTGGAAGCAGGAACAGGAATATTTCTCAAATGCACAGTGAGCTGTTTTCTGTGGGCTTTTTTTTGCTCTTCTGCCTTCACACAACCACCTTCTGTTCCCTCCTGTGAGCAGATTACTGGTGTTTAGAAGACCTGTACCGGGAGCTGGTGAAGCGCTATGTGGATGCTGTGGACAAGCTGTCGGGCAGGCGGCCGGACCCCGCCACCATCGAGGGCTGCAGGGAGCTAAAACCAGACAACCACCTCCTCGCCTGGCACACGCCCTTCAATGAAAAGGGTATGGTACTGCTTTCCTTTCTGAGAGCCTGCCTAGAATAATGCATGCTCTAGGTGTTTGTGGCTATATGGAAATTGTTTCCTTTCCCCCCCGACATCAAAGGCCACTACCCCTGAAACGTTTCCATGTTCGCCTGAGGATGACAAGAGACCTGCCAAGAATTCCTTCTGTAGGGCACTGTGTCCTCTTGTAAGCAAACCCCTCCCTCTTTAACATCTATTTAAAGAGACTTTGTCCTTGGCTCTGTGCCTCAGAGTCCAGATCTTTGTCCTTGAGTTTAATGGTTATTTTAAGAAATATTTTGTGCCATTTTTCCTTTAAACGTTTGTAGGCTTCGATCTTTTCAGTGACACCAGATCTGAAACAAAATGCCAAGCGTATAAATTACTCTAAGCACCAACAGGTTCACTGGAGGGAAAACAGAGACTTTTCTCCATTTGGACGCCCTGCTAACGACTATGATTGTTTTGTTGGTAATCCCTAACATTCCTAGCCTGGTTTACCTACGCCTGACCCTCTCCTTCTTTCTCTTTATGATCATTTACATCTATGAAAAAATGAAATTAAATAAAAATCATTTACTTCAATGAAAAACACTTCCACGTCAAGTTAAAAAACACGCACAGAGCTATGTGCACACACAAACACACACAGTGCAATTAATCTGAAAGCCTGTAGGGTCACTCCATGATCAGAGGAGGGAGACCCAGACAGCCACACAACTGTGTCAGTCACACTCATGGTGGCTGTGTTGGTGTGATGCTCAGCCACTGCAGAACACACTGCCTCAACAGAGCTGCATATTGATGTAACACCATGGCAAAGAATCGGTGGCACCATGCCATGGCTATTTCTGGGTCTCTGCAGCCAGTTTTCTCTGACAAAAAAAAAGCATCTCTCACTTGTCCTCTGCTCCTCACAGCAGCTGCTGGGAGTAAAGGGTGTATTTTTCCCACCCTGCTATCAGCCAGCCAGATCTGAGAAAGTGCCCCTTTGGCAGTTGTCATGTGTTTTGTGACTGGCAGCGGATAAAATTTGGTGAAAATAATTGTGGCAGCTGCTGTTGGCCCCAAGTAGCTCTTAACATTGTTTGACAAACAGTTGAGTATGGCTGCTCCCTGGTCCACCACAGTGTTGGAGTTCTCTTTTTTCAGCCTTCCTCCTCCCCAGCTTTCCATGATGGACTGTCTGCTTTGGGGATACTCTGGGCTAGAAGAATTTAAAATTAATTTCTACCTTGAGATCTGGCAGCTAAAAGCCACCTTCTCCATCTGGTCTGACAAATAAGCATCCAGAACATTTCAGGAAGCCTTTTTTTCATGCTGAGAGCAGAAGAACTAGCGACCTGGAGATGTTCTGTCTTCTATGGGACCCAACACTGCTGTGGACAAAATTAACTTTTATCTGAATTTGCACAAAATTCCTCTCTAGGCAAAAACATGCCATAGGCATTGAATACCTGGGATTGAATGCCTAGCAGTCAGATTATATTTTGGATGAGCTGGAACCAAAAGGTTTGCTGATTTGCTGTGGGCATTCTATCTTATCTTGCTTACAGCAATAATTGATATGCCAGCCTTCATGGACTTACCTTAGGTAATTTTGCATTGCTTATGGATGCTTCTCTGCTCAAATTCTTGTGGATTTAGTCAGCACACTGAACCCCCAAGTCAAACTGCCCTATGTGTCTCTGCCACCTCATGTCATGCTCATTGCCACACTCGTTGCAGAGATACCTGGGTTATGTGACCACTAGAAAACCTGCCCGAGATTGTCTAACACCTTCCATTTTAAGAGCTTGTTTACAATTTACAACATTGATAAGCACAAGGCTAAAATTCTCTCCATTAAGTGTTTGCCTCTGTTTGTAAGTATTTGTTTAAAGTTTTGATGCAGATGAGTCTGCTGTTTCTGAGACATGGTAAAAATGTTTTGACCCACTGCCAAAACTTCAAACTGTTCACAAGAGAACCATTGATGTTGTAGAACTGGAACCAAAACTTCAAAAGGCCAGTCAAATGATGGGTCAAATAGCTGGGCTCTACCTGTTTTCAGGCCAAGACTGCAGCATCCAAGCAGGTCTTTATTTGCATCTGTGGAAGCAACCTTTGGTCTTCCTAGAAGCACTTGGGAAATTTTTGCTGGTGGTATTGGCAGAGGAGCATGAGTGAAAAGTGTGAGGGAAAATGCAGAAAGTTGAAGGGAAAGTTGAGGAGAAGGTTAAGCTACAGATGCACAGGAGATAAAGGTGCTGGGCTCTAAATTTTCATGCAGAATGATCTACAGTCACAAAAGGCACATCCTCTTCAGGGCTTAGCAGCTATAACCCTAATCTTTGTTATTCTACAGGTGTAGGGTGAAGAAAATCACACTGAGGTATGACATACTAAAAAAAAAATAATGTAGTGCTTAAATGAAAAGGAAAATAACTGGGAAACATGAGTAAGTACAGCAAGAATTCACTGTCTCCTCCAGGACAGCAACTAGGGACGTCAAATGAAAGTATGAGGTCATGAGCTCAAAGCAAGCAAAAAAAAGGATTTCTTCTCACAACACCTACATAAGCTGCATAAATATTTTCCAATGCCAATTTGTAGATGCTACAGTTCATGTGAGTTCAAAAATGAGCTGGGCAAATTCACCCAGGGGAAATCCTTCAAGGGTTTTTGAGCAGGAAGATGAACAGCCAGGCCAGCTGCCTCCTGGATCAGGGAGGCAAATTATCAGCAGCTTAGTTAGTACAAAGGGATAATGTCATTGTGCTTCTCTCTTCCTTGAGTATCCTCTTCATTGTCAGATGTGATGACTTGGCTGGACCTTTGGTCTGATCATGGAGGACAGTCCTTATGTTGTCACATGTGTCACCCCTATTGCTTGGACTAGTCTTGCTGTCCCCTATGTCCTTAGCCTAAATGGTAGACTTGATACATGAGAGTTAGCTCCCTGAAGCTCTGTCTGGGTTTAATATTTCTCCATGTGATGGAATTTTTTGTTACCAAGTTTGCTTGTCTAATTCTGCAGAAGGTTTTAATGGAACTTCCTAGACTGTAGGAATGCAATGAAGTGGGAAACACAAGCTCCTCCTGAGCAGCAGTCAGATTGCTGTAGTACATCTTCCACTTCAGATATACTGAGAGATGTTATTTAATTAGCAACTTTGTGTAGTTGTGCAAGAACCTTCCCTCTTGGATAACCAGCATGGCCTGTGTCCTTTGGAGAAACCAGGTTTGCACAGTGAAGAAGCGCTACTCTATGGCAGCAGATGGTTTAATGAAGAGTTTGGTCTTACAAGCAGAAGATATTTTCTCCCACTTGAGTGGTGCCCTGGAAGACTGGATTTCCTTCCTGACTCTTCCTAGTGGTTTCTATGTCAACTGTGGGATAGGCAGACAGTTTTATCTGATTCTGGATAGCTGCTCTCAGGGGAGAAGAACTCTTTTCTTAAGAGGGAAATTCAGATTGCACCTGGAAATGCCAGTAGGTGGTTTATGCTAGTTTGGCTCAGGCTTCAGTTTGACTTGGAGTAGATGTCACTGCCACCCTCACTACCCCATTTGGATCACACTCATAATCTTAGGAGATTTGAGCTGGAGCCACTTGGGATGAGACTTAGTGGCAAGAGGTGTTCCAAAAGAGCCAAAGTGCTTTGCTCTCACAGCAGACAAAGCCCAGTGGAGCAGCTGAGGGCCTTTCTCCAGATAAGTGACTAAAAGCTGTGACCCTGGCTCCTTGGCTGCTTCAATTCACTCTGGCCCCCAAGATGCTCCTACTATGCCATCATACACACCAATGGACATACTGCCTTTCTCCATGCTGTCTGTGTGGGAAAGACAAGGGGATTGGGCTCCTAATGCAGGTTCACATAGGCTAAAATTAGGCAGCATAAATATGCCCCTTATCATCCAGGAACTAAGAAGAGAAATGCTGATTGCTCTCAGCTATTCCCAAGGTCAATGGGAAGTGTGATTGAGCAAAGACAGTGCTGAAAAACGCCAAGTACTTTGAAAAATCGAAGTCTTTCCATCTCAGGGTGGTTGCCTGCAATGAGTTAATGCTTTTTTGGGCATTGGCTCACCAGCTGCAAAGAGGAGATAATCACCTCACTGGTGCCTGGTGAAGATAAGCTCATTAAAACTTCTCTGGGATCCTAAAATTACTGTGATAAGTACAGCAAAGAAACTCATTAGTAAGTTTAACTCCATTCAATGAAGTGTTTAAAAGTTGAACACCTAGGATCACACACTCAGTGCTAAGGATTAAAATAAATTCTGAATTAGCTATTCAATAAATAAATTCTGTGCTACATGGAGATGGTGGTTCCCAAGACTAAGCTCAGTAAGTGTAGGCTGTAGCACAACAAGCACTAATTTTAGGTTGCATGGCAAACTTCAGTTCTGACATTGCCTAACTTTGTAGGATTTGGCTTGGTAGCCTTTAGTTTCTTTTGTACACATTATTTTTATATATAGCAGAAACTGGTGAGGCTCTCCAGGATGAAACATGCACTAAAATTGAACAGTGAACTGTGAAGCTCATATAAAGTGTTTTAACTGTGTGCTTACAGCTATAAAATAAGGGTGTGGGGTAATGTATCTGTTTCTCAAAGTTCTGTTTCTGGAGCAAGCAAGACAGCAGTGTCAGCCAAGAATGAGTGAAGATGGGATGAGAATTTGGATCAAACAAGTCCTGTGAATTAGAAAGCTCATGACTTTCTGAACCCACTGTGCTCTTCATAGCGTTTGATTATATTGGAATACACATGTAAAACCAGAATAATTACGTAGGAATAAAATTCCTTGCAAGAAACTTACAAAACTTGTAACTCATTTTGCATGGTAATTTCCCATTCCGTGAGGAATTCTCTTCCCACATATGAATGTAAAGTGTGCTTGTCTCATATTTTATCAACATATTTGTGTGAGATCAGTCTCCTTTTAAATGCTTGGTGTTATCCTTTTACTTTAGGTTCTGGATTTGGGGCTTCCACAAAAGCCATGTGTTTAGGGATGCGATACTGGAAGCCAGAGAGGCTGGAGACACTTATTGAAGTGAGCATTGAATGTGGACGAATGACTCATAACCATCCCACAGGTAATGCCTGTATTCTGACATCCCCTAAGGCAGCTTCATTCTCCTGCAGGAACTAACATGGCTCCCCTGGTTAAACCACTTCTGCTTTGCAGGCTCCAAGAGTTCAGTTTGAACCTTGCTTGGTTCACACATACATGTGTATGCTATTTATACTGGCTTATGTATTTCTTTGTATATTATGCGGACAGCATCTTCAGGCATAGATGTTTTCTCTTCTAAAATCCCAGTATCTAAACACAACCTGCCCTGTCCAAAGCATATTCATGCTATTTGTCCTCATCAAATTTTAGGTTTCATGTATATCTAAATGACTCACTGTTACCATGCAAATTTATGGTTCAGGGGATAACAACGTTTTTCTCTTGTCAGGTTTTGTCACATCCAATCATTGTAGGTAAAGGTAGTAAGCCAAAAAACCTAACTCCACATATTTTAGGATACAATCTGAAACATTTTCTAAACAAAACCTAAATAAGCAGATTTAGTGCTGTTTTTAATATTCAGGTCTGTCATTTTGATAATTTTATGCTATGTAAACTTGTATTCATTCTGTCTGTTTTAAACAGCAATAAATAAAACCATAATGAATAGTGACATGTTCAACACTCTTAGCGCTATAAAGCAGTCAGAAAAGCCATCAGGATGCCATAAAATTAGGGGAAAAGGGTTTAAAATAAAACAGAAAATTAGGCTAGTATGTAAAGTCCGAGGTGCATTAGCAGCCATAAGACTGCTTGTAGTCTGTGTCCATCAATGTCAGGAAGGGCTTATGAGACCAGAAAATGGCAGCAAGGAGGTTCCAAGTTGTCAAACACCTTCCATACAATGAGAAATTACATCCAGAAAGAGTTTTCAGCTGGGAAAAGAAACAAATGACACAGCAGGGAGGCAGGAAAGAGAGGGGTGGAAGGGCCACATGCACCCCACTGCCATCCTGAAATGTGTCAGGGAAATGCCAGTTGTGATCCTCATAACTCAGAAAACCCAACCAGTGTGTCAGGTGGGACTGAAACAAGCGGACAAAGGAAATACCTCCCCGTGTTATGCACAGTGAAGCCTCAGAGCTTGCTGCTAAGTCAGCTGCAAAGTCTACAGGTATGCCTGGGTTCAAAGGAGACCAGGTAAAGAGGCTGTCTTGTCAAAGTCAACCAAGCTGTGTAATTAAAATGGCCCTTAAAACTAACCTGGTTGTTCTGGGGAATGCAGAAGCCAAAGCACTCCATGGCAGGGGTTCACTCTGTCTTGCAGACAGACACCTTGGCCAGGTGTGCTTTCCTCCCCAGTGAGGAGCAGCAGGCTGGGTGGGGACTGCCGTGAGCAGGGGGAGCAGGGCAACAGCAGCAGCAAAGGGCATGGGCAGCCTGGGGAGCAGGCAGGAGCAGACTGCCAGCCCCCAGAAAACCTTCAGCACACACCCCAGCCTCTGCCACCCTCTGGCTGAGCTGTCCCACTGCCCCCTGCTAGCCCTTTGATTCACACTCTAAACCCTCTGCTGCCACCTTCACAGTAAATGTGGCCCTCAAGGATTTTGGCATCTGTGATAGATGCTGTGCATCTGAGTGAGACCCCTTGGGCTGGATCTGAACAGACTGTTATTGCTTTTATTATTCATATAATAGAATATATGAATATTCTATTCATATAAGGGTAAGGGACTCTAGTTGGATGTGCCTTGGGCCTGACCCAGTAGTGCAGGTCTTGTGGCAGAGAGAATTAGTAATCACCTCAGCTGGACTTGTCACCTCCTAAAATAATTTTGTTTTACCTTCAGCAAAATGCACAAAATTCATTATTACCTCTATGCATGAGTATACGCTTTTGGATCCATGCACTGAGAGAAGTACCTGCATCAATACTATGCTCACCTGGGATTTATTTAAATTACTGACTGCTTTTCTTAAGCTTCTTCTGCACACTGCACCAGATTGATTTTGTTGTCCTTCACAGAATGCCAAGGGCACAAGGAAATATAAGGCATAAGCCGACTGTTTCTGGTGTCATGGAAGTGTTAAGTTCCCATTAACAGTTATAATACTTGTAATATTTTCAATGTTGAAATATTTGTAACCAGAGTTACAAATAGAAGACCAGCATGTCTTTCTTGGACAATTTCGTCTTTCATTTAAGGGGTCATGGGTTTGTTCCCTTGGAGCCAAATGAGCCAGAAATAGTGTTAGATCTAGCAACCACCACTCTTGGGCTGGATGATGCTGTAAACAAGCTGATATAGCTTGTAACTGAATCACTTTGTACAAGTCAATTATTTCATGTGACTTCAATTAGAAGATTTTCAGCATCTCATTGGTAGAAGATGTTTATTTTTGACCCCTACCTCAATTTCTATCACGTTACACTGCTAGAACAGAAGCTCCCTCCTCTGTAAGATAAGTCGCAGACCAATGGGCAGCACTCATTAGCCAATAATCTCTGCATGCCACAACTCAGGTTGCAAACAGGCAGAGATGGGTTGTGTACATTTGTTAATCTACCTGAGAGCCATGAGGCATTCCACTGGTGATTCTATGAGGAGAAACAAGGACAAAAAGGATGGTGCCAGCACAGATGCACACTTTTAATCCTTGTTATTTGTGAATTCCAGGTTTTCTAGGGTCCCTTTGCACAGCTCTCTTTGTGGCATACGCAATACAAGGGAAACCCCTTGTGCAATGGGGAAGAGAGATGATGAAGGTTGTGCCAATGGCTGAAGAATACTGTAAGAAGACCATTCGTCACATGGCAGGTACTGAGTCTGGATCAAGAGTTCATTTCCTTAAAGCTAAGTTTAGCTGGAAAGGCACTGAAGAAATGTTGCTCCCTAGTCTTTACATCTTGCTACTTTCCCCCCTTTCCTCCTTCCAAAAGTTGTCCTCCTGCTTTCTCTGCTCAGAGAAGTAAGTGCCTCACAGGTGGTGCCACCTTCTTCTACCACCAGTTAGTTGCTGGTGAATTGGTGGCAAAAATATAAAGCAAAATAGCAATGACCATGCCCTACTGCACAGTTTTATTTTTAGGGAATCTTCAGAGATTGCTGAGCAGGGGAAAGGAAGGAAATTATATTTAGCAGGTTATTAGGCAACTGACTGCTGAGATTAATTATTCAGCTGCCTTCCATCAATTAGTGCAGTTCAACATTTTCCAGGAATAAAACCACTGGCACTCCTCATCCTGCCAGGAAAATTTCACCTGCAGATGCCTCCTGACAAGAAGAATTAGCTTTTGACCACAATTCAGATTTGAGTTGATGCTTTTCTGAACAAATATTTAAGATACAACCTGTTGTATCCTTGTTTTAAACAACTGAGTGTCACCTAACTACTGAACTTGATACTACTACTTTATTATTGCTATGTATGTGTTCTTTGGGACTAAATACTTTAGTCCCCTCTTGCAAGGAAGTGATGTTTGTAATGGTGAGACCTGCCACGGACAGACAATATCATTACATTGAAACTTCAAGGAAAGAAATTAAGGGACAGCTGTTGAGAAAGACTAAATTCAATAGAAATCTTTACTCAAGAGCACTCAGAAATTAAAACTTACCCCTGAAGAAAAGCTGCTGCTTTAAAATCTGAAAGGAGCCCCAGGAAGGCTTTCTGAAAGACCCCGCCTTTTCATCTGTGCCTCACTGCACACCAGGATTTTTTTAGCAGAGACCCATGAGGAGCAGGTGCAGGATTAATGTGATCGAGCGTCCCTCTGAGTGGCTCTGCAGCAGGTCCCTGTCACTCCACCCCAGCAGGACCCCTCGGAGTGGAGCTATGTGTGCTGGGCTCCTGAGGCATGCTCTCCAGCCAGTGCCTGTATTGTTGAGCTTCATCCTATTTTGGTAGTGGGAAAAGTGTCCTGCATTAAAGTTAAGCTCCTTGGCTGCTGAGATGCGCTGCAAAGAAATCCTGCCAAACAGAGTCCTCCAGTTTTAGAAAATCCTATTTTAGCTATATTATCCCCCATGGATAACAAACAGAGAGTTTGTTATCCATGTCCCAGAGAGTTCCACTCTACACCCCTCTCTGATATCCAGTTGCAATTACTGGATTACAGATAATTCCATGGACTGGAATGTGACCATCACCTTGGCTGGGCTCGAGGGATGGTGCAGAGCCTTGCTAGGATTAGTGGCAAGAGATTCTCACCATGCTACAGGTCCACCCAACAAAAATCTCCTTCAGCAGCTTGATCCCTCTATTTCTAAAACTGTGGAAGAAGCACCTTGCTTGTTAAGGTGCTACATAGAAAACATTCCTTTTTGAGGCATTTATGGTTTATTGTCATGGGGGAATTAGGGGAAAAAAAAACCACAAAAACCAAACAAAAAGTCAACAAAAACAAAATAGACAGGTCAGATCACTTACATTTCTGAAAACTGTCATAACCAGTTGCTGTAGTGGGTGTTGATAGTTTACATTTGCCTTGCTTGTATTTGTTTCCCTCTTGATGTTGTAGATACATCTAGATGCTCTCCTTGGCTTGATGGTTGTAAATGGCCTTTCACTCTGTTTTTGTAAATACCTCCCCTTTTTAGCGTTCTGGTGAATGGTTTCTTTGAAATGAGGCCAAACTGGGTCACAGACTCAAAAAAAGGGCAGCTGGACATTTCCAGGTGTCTTGGGCATGTGGTTGAATGCTCATCACTGGCTGGGGCTGGGGCACTGGCAGCTGACAACTTTGTGAAAGTATCAGGTCCTACAAAGCAGCTTAGATTTTTACAAAAAAGCCCCTACTTAAAGATCTTAATTGCCAAAGAGAGTCACCACTGTGGCATTTTAGGACAAGAAGCAAAATCAGATTACATCCTTCAGGTGAATGGTTTGGTTGTGTGTGTGCTTCTCAGCCGCTTGCAGCACGTACCACTGAGCAGCCAAGCAGAAGAGAGACAGGGAAAAAATGGGAATGTTAAATTTTATTTTACACCTATAGTCCCATCCCAGATTGCCAGTTTGCCTTGGCAGACTTAGCCATCTGGGCCACCTCACTGTTCCCTAACTCTTTATATCCCTCAGCTTGCCAGGCAGGTTTTCCCTCAGGTTTCAGTTCTGCAGGCACCAGGTGCATGTGAATGTGCTTAACAGTCCTGTGTGAATGACTAAGGTGCCTTTTCAAGCCTTTATAAAAAGGGTGAACGAGAGCATTGGCTTGAAAATAAACTAAATTTGATAAGTTTATTTACATGGGAAACATTAAGCACGATTAGAGATCACTTCCCAAAGTGACAGGAAAAAAGGAGAAAGATACATGGTTATTTAAAAAGGCTTATTTCTATGGGTACAGTTAGCAGATGTGTGTATTATTTATCCCTTTGCTATATTTTATACATATTATACTATATGCAAGTGGGAATTTTGGACTTTCCTATCTGTTTTTTCCTGAATGATCACACAATAAATGCGATGAAAATAGAACAGGAATACTGGGGAGTTTGTGCAATTAAAAATTGATAACTGAGGTAGGTGGCAAATTGTATTTAGGATATGGAAGCATTTTTAGATATTCTTTAATTATAGGAAAGGAATAAAAACTGACAAAGAATTGTTTTTTTCTTTTTGTTGATTCTTATTTTTTCCTTGGAGTGCATTTCAGTAAATTCTTGCAAAATTTCATCTTGATATCTCTTAAATGACATTAAAATAGCACAAAATTCTGAAAGTACTTTTTTCATTTTTTTTCATCCTCTGTTTTCAATTAGGTGTCCCACTCCATATATACTTAGTATATATGCAGTGTATTACTGTAAAATACCTGGGGTTTCATGTCAGTCAATACTGTCATTATCCTTAAAATACGTTAAAGTAGAACTGAAAATGTTCTCAAAATTAAATACTACATCATTAATTTCTTTTGCTTTCAGAATATCAAGAGCACTGGTTTTACTTTGAAGCCAAGTGGCAGTTTTATTTGGAGGAGAGAGAAATCAATGAGGAAAATCAGAATCAACCTGTCTTTCCAGCCAACTATGATGCAGAAGAGAGAGAAAAGGTAACTGCAACTTCCAAAAGTTCTTGGGATGCCTCTGAACCAACAGAGGTATTTTCAAAGAGACACACCACTGTTTTTCAACTGATTCCACTGCCAGAGTAGTCAGGAAATCCTTTTTAGGTTTCCCCCCACCCCTCCTGAAGTTTCAAGAAAGAAGAAACAACTCCCATCCCTGACTCAGGTTGTTAGTTAAAAAAAAAAAAAGCAGTTACTAACAGTCCTGGGTTTGCTGCAATGGGAGAAAACAGTACAGAGAGGCAGGCCTAATGGTCTGGTACCCAGAGCAGGTACAAAACATGAGCCATGGCTATCTGAGGGTGGAAAAGGCAAATGTCCTGCCTGGAGCTGTCATTAAAGCCTAATGGAGCTGTGGCCAGAGTCCCACAGAAGTACTCCCAGATATTAGAAGCTGGATTTGGTCATGCTTAGTGGAGGGTGTCCTGGCCCATGGCAGGGGATTGGAACTCAGTGGTCTTTAAAGGTCTCTTCTAATCCAAACCAGTCTACGATTTTTTGGTCCTTGGAGCAGAAGACAGACATCCCAAGTGATTGATTCGCTGCCAACTTGGGCTGTGCCAAGCTAGTTTTGAGTGTCTTGAGAGATGGTGTTTCACCACATTCCATGAGATACTATTTCATAATGTACATGATCTTTTCTTTGCTGGTTATATCTTCTTAACTCAAGAGAAATAATGTGTCTTCTTCCCTGCTGTTTACAGCTATCTGATACGGGCTGGCACTCCCCAAAGCTCTCCACTTAGCAGCTAAGCAATAAGTATGTGGTTCTTGTCACCTTTTGCCATAAATCATTATTTTTCCAGACTATTTAAGCATAATTCTATGCTGAGAAGTCACTTCGTGTATTTTTAGGTGATTATCTGTGCAGTGAAAGGTGCCCACGGAAGTCCAATTGACTGTGGATAACAAGAAATTGCTCACTCTAAATATAAAGAATAGATTCCCTTCCAGTTTTATTTTACTAATTCAGTGCCATGAATTTGCTACTAGTTTCATATTCCTTCCAGTACTACTGGAGTCTCAGCAAAGCAAAAAAGGAGAGATTAAACCTAACACTAATTTCCCATGATCATTTCAAGAGAGAACTGTATGAATTCCTAATGCAGAAGCAAAATTTACCTTCATTACCCTAGCCCAACTATTTAGGCCTACTGAGCTATTTATTGTGATGAACAAGAAAGGAGAGATGGTGCTTGACCCTCAAACTCCCCCACCAGGCAGAGATCATAGCCTGGCAGAAGTCGAGACACTTCATTAGTGTGCTGATAGCTATGGAAAGCATAGATGAGGAGAAGGTGACCATTCTGCCTGGCTTTTTCCCAGGAGTGCCCTCCCTTTGCCTTCCCTCCAGCCTAGCTGTCCCCTTGTGTTTGGGAGTATAGCCAGTCGCCTTTTCACATGCAGTTAATAAAGCACCAGAATCTGGCACAGCCCTTGCCCACAGGTCACCACATGCATGTTTCTGCTTGGCCAGGTGCACCTTTCTGCAGGCACAGTGTCAGCTGCATGTGAAAGTGAAATATGGCTTGAATTGATCTATGCATGTTTCAAAGGCAATTTCTCTCCCAAAAAGAAATCACATCTTGAAATGTTTAGCAGCAAAGGCCACATTCTGTATAAGCTGGTATATATAATTTTTCAGTGATGTGCATTTGGAAGATGTTAGATATGGAATGAATGAGCAGACATTGCTCAACATGTGGGATTAGCCCTGATTCTGCAAACAAAACACTGGTCTGAGTTGCTTTCCTGTGATGGACATGATGTGCTACAGAATAAGGGAGGAACAAAATCAAGATCTCCAGGAAAATTAGACTATAAGGACCTTGTTTTCTTAAGATGGAGTTACTTAAACCAGCAGAGTGAAAGAACCCAGAAAGGAGGGGGAAAAAAGAATGGAAAGGGAGTGTTAGCCAGCAGTGGGTCAGCTCCTGAACGGTGGGGAAGTCAGAGGCAGCTGTAATTACTGGTGGCAGGGGTTGACAGCAAGGAGGGGACATGTGAATTACCTCCTGGGCTTGGCAGCAGCTCAGTGCCTTCAGTAGGAGAGTGCATGGCATGCTGACACCCCATCCAAGTCCTAGGTCCTTGCTGGCCCACCCAAGGGAAGCTGGGCTGGTGCCACAGCACAGCACAGGGCTGCACAAAGGCCCTGGAGCTGAAAGGAGAAGGAAGCAGTTTGGGAAGTGCTGCCTTGGGGCAGCTAAGTCCTGCCAGGTTCAGTCCTAGGACAGCCATCCCCAATGTAAAGCAATTTCAGCAAGGCAAGATGACCTCAGACGTGTGCAGAGCATCAGGGATGAGGAGGAATAACTGGAATGACACTTGAGCAGCCTGGCTGCACACCCAGAATATCCCCTCCATGCTGAGCCCTCCTGCCTTTGGTAGCATTGCATGTGTGTCTGTGCTGCTCCACCAGCATACAAACTGCAGCAATAGGCTGGACATTTTAATGGGCAGAGGACAGCAGAAAAGCATAAATAATCTCTCTAAATTGTAGCCCCCCCCCAAAAAAAAAGCGTAGAGTGAAGCTGTAGTCTGATTCTGCAGTGTTTGATGTATGCGTAGATAAACCTCAACATGAAATATGAAATATGAAATATGAAATATGAAATATGAAATATGAAATATGAAATATGAAATATGAAATATGAAAATATGAAAATATGAAAATATGAAAATATGAAAATATGAAAATATGAAATGTGAAAATATGAAATATTAAATAGCTCAGGTGAAAGTGAATGGAGAGAAATGCAAACCCTTCATACATGTTGCAGAAGCCAAGAGCCAGCCAACCAGCAACATTCAACTTGCCATGATATAAGATAACTTGAGGAAATAAAGCTGCCAATTTCTTAATAGGCAGGTGTCTTTTAACTATAAATTTATTAGTGTTGAAATAATTTGCATATTTGGGGCTGGAGGTACCTGCTCTAGAGAAAATCCAATTTTCCTTTGCAAACCTCACTGTGGGTTTGGAGCTCTTTCTTATTCCTTCTCCTGGGGAAGAACTGTTTCTTACATTTGCAAATTATTTTCCCTTTTGTTCGACAAGTGCTTTTAGAAGAGGACAGAAAAGGCTTGGCAAGAAAAAGACAGAGAAAGGGACTTGAATTACATAGTCTGAAACTAAGGCCCTAAAGAAATTACTGGATCAGAACATTTTCACCCCTAATGAATGGCTAATTGAAACATTTGCAAATGTGCACGAGGGGAGTTGAGAATATTTCCAGAGGCAGGAAGAGGACTGAGGAAGTGTGTCCTTACCAATCTTAATTTTTTATATGATAAGGAATTTCTAGGATATGAACTTGAAATCTGTCTTGATCTACTTTTTGGCATTTCTGGCTTCCTTAAATCAGCCTCTTGGCCTGCCAAGAACTCGGTGCATTAAGCTGGATTCCAGGGTTATACCAGCACCTCAGGATCACCAGGACTGCTGGAGCTGCCACTGTGGCTCATCCAGAGGCACCAGAGGAGCCACAGCACAGCCCCTGCCACCCTTTCCCAGCCCAAGGAGCTATTCCCACTCAGCCTGGTGTGGCCAATGCCCTGGCCTTCAGTCCCAGTGCTGTAACGGTGCAGTGTTTTGCACCACTTAATTAGTGGCTTATTTGAAGTTTTTTCTGTTTTTACTTAGAGCTAGGATTAAAAAAAAAACCATGAAGGAAACGGATTTTGTTGTGTTTGGGGTTGACTGTTTATTAAATTTTATCAAAAGTACAGAATGTTCAGCAACATTTCTAGCTACCTGCTAGAAGCAAGCAAAACAGAGCGAGATTTAGCTAGCTACAAGGTCTCTTAAAGCTAAACAGACTAATAGAGAAAAAAACACTTATATTATTTATACCTTTAACCTAATAACCAAATTCCCATGACCCTCAGTGTGGCACTAACTGTTCAACCAGAAACTACTACCTGAAACTAGGAAGAAGAAAGAGGAAGAACACCGAAAAAGACACACCTAAAATTTTCTATCTTGTCCTATACCTATTACTATACTATAAAAACCTCAAATTTAAAACCCTTCACCGTGTGAAATCACACACTTCTATTTAACTACACACCTGTGATTTTAACTTCATCACTCAAATCTGGAAGTTTTCTCTAAGGCCTGAGGTGAAAAGCAGTGTTCTCCAGGGGTTTAGTGCCAGAAAGCACAGAAAGCTCAGAACCCCAGGTTTCTGGGATCCCTGTCCTGACAGCACTGTCTCTCCTGCAGACGTACCGGCGGTGGAGCTCCGAAGGCCGGGGGGGACGGCGAGGCCACGACGCCCCCATGATCGCCTACGACGCCCTGATGGGCTGCGGTGGGGACTGGACAGAGCTCTGCAACCGCTCCATGTTCCACGGAGGTGAGGCTCCCCTGTGCTCCCGCCTGCTCCCTGGCCGGGCAGCATAGAGCCCTCCTGGCTGCCAGCTGCCTCTGCTGGCCATGGTGTCTGTAACACTCTCACCCCTGGTGTTAGCCTCTAAACCCCGTCCTTCTGGCAGCAGCTGCCACACAAGCCAATTGCAGCACCTTTCAAATGTTGCTCCATCTACATCTCGTGGTTCCACCAGAGCTGTGTGAGGAGTAAGTCCAGCACGGCTTTCTAAAGGGCTGACAGATCCTGACAGAACGCGAGCACCTTTGGCAAAACAACCTTTTAGTTGTCTGAAACAAAGTCAGGGAGAAAAATAATACAGCACCCAAACAATGCCAGCCAAATAAAATCCAGCACTTGGAGGCGCACAATTAAGTACTTCTACAGCCTTGTGAGAGAAAACTTTCTCATCTTGCTGGGCTATTGGGAGGGCCAGCATAGCTGGGGGGTAAGACCCCAGTCCTGACCCACCCCCTCCCTCCCTATGGGGTGTGGGCCCTCTGCAGGGGCTCTGGGTCTCTCACCTGCCCCAGCACAGTGGTGAGAGCTCAGTCCCCCACTGCAGACCCTGGCAGGCACAAACCCATAGGCACTGCCTGCACAGAGCATCAGTGCTCCTCAGCAAGGCTGGGTGTTTTAGAGCTTGCACTGTGCTGTCCTGTGAGGAGAGAAGGGACCCTCTCCAGTCCAGGACCTTTGCTGTATAGCAGACACCCCTGCAACTTTTATTCCCTCCTTTGTTCTTAGCAATGGCTAGCTGCCTGCAAGAGCTGCTGTGCTGGGGTAGATTTTCCCAAAGCCAAGTGAGTTCCCAGCCCAGGAGTGCCCAGGGCATCTCCATGTGCTTGCCTTGCATCACTCTCTTACTCAGGCATCCTTAGCCTTTAGGACCGGCCCAGTACACTCCCACAGCGCTCCATCAGCCTGGAATTCTCCCTCGTTTGTGCAGTGCAGTTTTTGGTTGTGTGTGAGAAGGTGACACTAAGAGACCACTGCAACTGTGCTTGAACCTGCAGGGGAGAGCGCGGCCACCGGCTCCATCGCTGGCTGCCTGTTCGGCCTGGTGTACGGCCTGAGCAAGGTGCCCAAGGGCTTGTACCAGGACATGGAACAAAGGGAGAGGCTCGAGTTCTTGGGAGAGAACCTTTACCGACTATCCATGGAGGAAAAGTAAAGCAGTTTCTGCCATTTTCTCTTTCTATAAAGACTATATCAAACCCTGTAGATATCTGACTGGTATTCACAGTGAAGGAAGTAGCCCTGAGTTAATCTGAAGAGCTCTATTGTACATCACGTGCAAGTGAAGATAGCTGAGTTATTAGGCCGGTTAGAGTAATTAGACTGATTAGATATATGTGATATTTCTGGTTTTTTTTACTGATGTAGGGATTTCTAAATATAAGGAGTGCTGCTTAAACCTCAAATGGCAAAAAATAAATAAAATGTCTTTTGACTGATTTCAGTCTAACTTGCTATAATACCACTTCCTAAACAGCTGTTTCCAGTAATTACACACACGAAATTAATTTTCAGAACTAATGCTTTCTTGCAAAACTAATGGTAGTACCCACTCACGGGGATATTCTCTGTATATTTGACAATCCTTTCACCACTGTGTCCTTCCTTGTTCTCAAATCTAATGTGTCTGTGACACTTGTAAACCTAATGTCTCATGGATTAGCTTTTAATGAATCACTGATCCCTGTATCAGCACTGTGGTGTAAGGTATTGTTACATTAGAAGCTTCCAGAAAAGGAAAAGCCAACACTAAAAATACCTCCAAGGAACAAGCAAAGCATCAGTGTGTCTAAAATTTCTGATCAGTGTGTCTAAAATTTCTGAATTATGTTTTTATTCTTCTTCAGTCTTCAGAACAAAGGTTTCTCTAAAATATAACTGGCTGAAATATTTGTAAATAAATTAATCTTGCACTATTTTCTAAGTATCAGTCTTTATTTTTAGATTGAACAGATTATATGTTGCTGTATCAGTAACAGAATTTTTGGCTGAGGTCTTCAAGCAGTTGTAATAGGTCAACAGTTAGGCTGTGATACATTTCACAAGTCTGAGCACCACAAAAACCCCAAGAAGAAAAGTTACAACTGCTTTATATTTTTTCCTATTTTTGCCCCCCTTCCCTTTATTACCTTTTGCTCTTTTTTGCCTTTCCTTGTCTGGCTTCATCTCACCTCTCCTTTCCAAGTTATTCTTCAACATTACTTTTTTTCTCTTTTTTCCTTTTTCCTTTTTCTTTTTTCCTTTTTTTCTTTTTTCTTTTTCCTTTTTTTCATTTTTCTTTTTTCTTTTTGCTTTTTTTCTTTTGGATTTTTTCTTCTTTTTTTGCTTTTTTCTTTTAAATTTTTTCTTGTCCTTTTCTTCATTCTTTTTTCTTTTCCTTTCCCTTTCTCCCTCTTTTTTTCATTTTTCCTTTTTCTTTTATTTTCTCATTTTTCAAGAAAACTGGCAAGCTACAGTTGGGTTAAAAGTTGTGTACCACAAACAGAGCAAACAGTTGGCCTTGATGAAGGAGATCTGAATGCTCCCTAGAGCAGCACAGACACAAGTATGGAATCCTCAATGAAATAATGCAGAAGTGAGAATTTGTTCCCACGTTTAACCTCGTTTTACCTTAGAAGTTCAGAAAGTGAGGTCTACGTAATCCTTTCTAATTTCCACCGTGTGTGATTGCCTACATGGTGTTGGTTTCTCCTGTCTTTCTCCAGCTGCTGAACTATGTTTTAAAAAGATAGCTAAAAATACATGAGTACTTTCCTACGCCTTTTTCCATGTAAGCCATTGCTGGACTCATCACTGAGATGTTATGTGGCAGACACAGGAGCAGGTGATGCCTGTCAGTAGGAATAGCAGCCTGCATGACAATGTCTGTATGAAAAGGTTTTCCGTACTCTGCGTTACTCTCGCACTGTTGTTTTAGCATGTTTTCTCTTGGCAGCTTGCAAGGTGCTTTCATGTTTGCTTTGGAGAGTGTTAAACCAAAAGCAGCAGTTGTGTCAGTAGCTTTTGGTGCCAAGAATACCAAGACTTTCTGAAAACGTTGCTTCTAGTTTAGGATGCCTCTAGCACTCCTGTAATAAATTCAGCAGTAGAGAAGAGAGAAGAGCATATTCTGCATAAGGTAGGACTTTTTCTAGTACTTTGGCTTTTCTTCTTCCTTTAGAAAATATAATTACCAACAAATATTAAGATCATTCATAATTTTTCCCATTTTACCTTCTATCCAACTTGAGCAGGACCAAGTTATATCTCTGAGATCAGTAAGAGAATCCCATTGAAAAAAAGACTGAACCTATAAAGCACCATTTCTGCAGCTGTTGGGTTGAGCAGTGCCTTGGCCATCATTCCACTGAACACAGTCAAAAGGCCTGTGCATTGTTTTGAGTGGGCAGAGCTGCTCCTGGTTGTCTTCCTTATCTAGAGGCAGGTCATTGGACTAAACACCACACAGGTAGTGATGGGATGGCCAGGGATGAGGGAGGTTATGGCATTTTGCACGCTCCAGCTCATGGCTATTTCCCCAGAGCCTACCAACAGTAAGGCAGACTGGCAGACTGGCAGCTGGCAGAGACCAACCAGTCCATTGATCTCTGACAGCTTTTGCAGGTTGGACAGTGTTATTCAATTAATTTCTTGGTTTTTGATGAAGCCTCCATAGTGCTGTTTCCTTCTTCCCATGCCACTGTCCCTGCAACAGCCAGTCCTTTGGGCTGCCAGAGTGTCTAAAATGGTGATCAGGTATTTAACATGAAATTCAGGATCAGGAGACAGGGCCCTCTCTTCTCCACACCAGAGACACTAAACCAGAAAATCCTACACTAAACCAGAAAATCCTTCAACTTCTTGCTTTTAGCAAATGTCATGGGATGCCACCACACCCTGCTACCCAGCAGCATCTGGACCCCTAACAGAATGGAAAGGCTGGAGTGCACTGATGCAGGAGGCAGCAGGCAGGTCTGGGAGGGAGTGCCAGCCCCTCTCCCTTTGCCTTGGCACCTCAGCTCTCCCCTGCTCTCAACACAGGGGTATCCACTGCAGAGGTTTCTCTGGGACAGGCTGGCCAGAGGGATAGGGTTGCACTGCTGCCCATTAGCATATTAGGCTGTTACCACTCCTGTGATGAGTGTCCCCAAAGAACCTATAAATAAGTAACTAAGCAGCCTGTCTTATGCATCTTAATTATTTGTGGGCCAAGAAGACAGGAAACCTTTGAAGGTGGCCTTGCCTCCTCTGCAGGGCCAAGCAGTCTGTCCTCCAGACACTGAAAACCATGCAGCAGCATAAACCAGCTTCCATAACCAGCAGCACATTGAGGCACATCACACACATTAAAAAGAGTGGAAACCAGCATCTCCAGAGGAAGAGAGGGGTGAGGGAGATAAAGTGCCTGTTAGGCCATTTTGCAGGATCAGGGAGGATCCAAGTATCTGCGTTGTCATATGGCATAGCTCACAGTGTTGGGAAGGAATTCTGCTGGCACAGGGCTCCCCTGTGCATGGGGACTAGCTGTCTGGATACTCCCAATGGGATTAGAATTGACTGTCTCTAGTTGATATAGAGGTGACTATATTTCATTGACAGAGTAGCAGGATGCAATTTGGGAGAAGACAGTAAGGAAAAATTAGGGGTGATGACTTAGCCTGTTGAGAATGGTGGTCATGCTCCCAAACATGAGAAGTCTCTTGCTTAGGCCTCCTTCCTTGAGGGGAAATCGCAGTGTTTTCCAAACAGTAGGTTAAAGCAGACTCATCGCCACCTCCATTTTCTGTGGTGGTCTCAGAGCTCAGTGTCATTGTACCCCTGCCCTTGCACAGAATGCATTTCAGATTTACATGGTCACGATGGTCGTTTGCAGGTGACGTCATCTTGGAAGAGCTGCAGATGCCCTAAATAGGTGCCATAGCTGTTTGTTCATTTTCTGCTGCTGGCTGGTGAATATGGATCAAACACTCAACCCATGCAACATGTCTTGGTACTTAAGGCAATGCAGTATTCCCACAACTGCTACATTTCAGATGGCATCCTGTAATAACACTCTAACATAGAAAAGGAAATCCCTGAATAGAGCTCACTTGTTGTATATTTTAACGAAGTTGTTTGAATTTCATAGCTCATATGTGATTAATTCCTAGCATATTCATTTGTGAATATTCCTAGTAGAGAGGGTCTGATCTTCTTCCCTTCACAATCAATAGCAGTTTGGCTATGCTGAAAGCAAGACTAGTCTGTATTTTACTGTGGCCATTTATAGCATCCAAAGCAGTCCAGAAGGGAGAGGTAAGCAGGGCATCTGGTTCTACTGTGGTTTGAGACATCACAGATGACCCTAAAGCACTCTGGTTGATTGCCCCACGTTTTTGTGAGTACACCAGACATTACTTAGGGAGGAGAGGGATGGCAAGCTTGCAGTTAAAATATCAGCAGACTTGCTAGGAGAGGGAATAAGACTGGACATTTTTAGCCAATTATACTCTGAATTCTGGTTCTTTCTTTATTCTGAAAACTCCCATAGTTGGGACAAATGGGCTTCTTGGTGTAACATAGAACCTTTGCTTTTTTTTGGCTGTGGGCAATTTGGTAAGGGAAAGGGTGGATGATACCACCTGTGCTATGCTGAAATGTGGTTATTCCCTATCAAAACCTATGAGGTATTGTTTGTCACATTAGACATGAGCCAGTTGTCAGGCTTTTTACTTTTATTGGCCTTTAAAAATACCTACAAAGTCATTATAAATAGACTTTCTTCCATTCAAATGGCAAATGCTTCCCTTTGCTGAGGGATGTAATTTTCAATATGTGCACTTGAAATGCAGCCAAGTGGAATCCAAATGTCACAACCCAACTGGACAAGGACTAGCCCCTCACTTTGCAAACAGCCTCTATAATATTGCAGAGGGGGGCCGGGTCCAGTTTCTTTCAGAGACCATGGGGTGCCAGCTGCTGGGGCACAGCTGGGCCTTCCCCAACTTTCCGAGCTTGACACTCCCTAAAGGATGACCCTCTTTGCAGCCTTTCTTCATTTTCTACATGTGGACTTAATTTAAAGAATTTTTTATTCCACTTCTGCTCATAAAAATTAATCCCCTGCGGGTATGCAGGCTGCATTCTGTGCATGAAGCTATTCCACTGCACAGTGAGGTAACCTTCCAGCTTTCCATGGTGTCAGAAAGCTGACACCTCTTGATTTTTCCCTCCTAGACCCATCTATTGTTATTGACTTCAAGTTCCAGCTCTTGTGCTGAGTTCAGTATTTTATTTAGTAACTGATCCACACCAATTAAAGCATTGCCTAAATCCCCAGCTGTCCAAGGGCCTGATTCTTCAAACAAACAAAGGTCCAACATACCATCCTTCTTCCTCCAGATTAAAAGAGGTTGTAGTCAAGGGACATTGCCAGGGTTGTTGTTGTAGTGATAGCCTTCACAAAGCAGATTTAAGAGCATAGTCCTGAAGTGGGATTTGAATGCTAT